TCAGACCCAGTCGGAGGCTGGAAGACGAAGGAGCTTGTTGGTAAGTCCGCCGTGTCCTGCTGAACCACACGGCAGAGCAGAGGGGAGCCGGGGACAAAGGGGGCAGGAGACGCAGCAGTGAAGATGTGCCTTTGATCACTTTGTGGAGCTTCCTTCTGCCTCTTCTTCTTTTGGCTAATTTGCAAGGGAGCACCTCATCTAGGGCAGCTGACTGCTGCTGCCTTCTCAGGCTCTCTTCATCCCTTCACATCCGTGTTTAATGATCATTGTCTGGAATGGCGTCTACCTCTACAGCGCCTGAGGAACGTGGACTGTGCTTTAGTTGACACTTTTCTAAACATTTTTTAAAAATTGGAAGTATAGCTGACTTACAATGTGTTAGGTTCAGGTTACTGCACAGTGATTCAGTAATATCTATAACACATGTGTGTGTATAATATCTATTATACATATATACACATATATATTTTTTCAGATTCTTTTCCCTTATGAAAATCTCTGTCGTATCTGACTCTGTGTGACTCCATGAGTTGTAGCCCACCAGGCTCTTCTGTCCACGAAATTCTCCAGGCAAGAATACTGGAGTGGGTTGCCATTCCCTTCTTCAGGGGATCTTCCCAAACTGGGGACTGAACCCAGCTCTCCTGCATTGCAAGTCGACTCTACTATTTGAGCTACCTGGGAAGCCCCTTTTACCTTATAGTTTATCACAAAATATTGTGTGTGTTTTCTGCGCTCTATGGCAGGCCCTTGTTGATATCTGCTTTGTTTATAATGATATGTATATTTTAATCTCATCCTCTTAATTTCTCCCTCCCCTGTGCGCCTCCCCTTTGGTAATGGTAAGTTTGCTTTCCATGTCTATTTCTGTTTGGTAATTAAGTTCATTTGCATCTTTTCTTGTGATATTTACTTATATACACTGGAATATTACTCAATATTACTCAAACATAAAAAAAAATGAAATAATGCCATTTGCAGCAACATGGATGGACCTAGAGATGATCATACTAAGTGAGGTAAGGCAGACAGAGAAAGAAAAATATCACTTATAAGTTGACACTTTTCCACCATCAGGTCTCAGCACCGTGTCTGATCCACAGTATATACTGAGAGGTGCTGATACTGAGTAGCATTGGCCTAAAGCAGCAAGGTGAGCTCCAGGTAAAATCATGAATCTGAAAAGCATGGTTCTAGTCTCTACTGCCACTGATTTTTGGAGGGGCGTTGCCTACTTTGTGCCTCAATTTTTTCAAAAGTAGAATGAGAGTGAGTTGGATGATCTCTCTGGATTAATCCAATGATTAAGATCTTGTAATTTGATTAGCTAGTCAATGGGAATTTGCTGTATGACTCAGGAAACTTAACCCGGGGCTCTGTAACAACCTAGAGGGCTGGGATGAGGTGGGAGGTGGGAGGGAGGTTCACAGGGCGGGGAAAGGGTTACCTATGGCTGATTCATGTGATATTTGGCAGTTCAGTTCACTTCAGTCGCTCAGTCGTGTCTGACTGTGATCCCATGGACTGCAGCACGCCAGGCCTCCCTGTCCATCACCAACTCCTGGAGTTTACTCAAACTCATGTCCACTGAGTCAGTGATGCCATCCAGCCATCTCATCCTCTGGCCTCCCATTCTCCTCCTGCCTTCAATCTTTCCCAGAATCAGGGTCTTTTCTAATGAGTCAGTTCTTCACATCAGGTGGCCTAAGTATTTTGAGTTTCAGCTTCGGCATCAGTCCTTCCAATGAATATTCAGGACTGATCTCCTTTAGGATGGACTGGTTGGATCTCCTTGCTGTCCAAGGGACTCTCAAGAGTCTTCTCCAACACCACAGTTCAAAAGCATTAATCCTTCAGCACTCAGCTATCTTTATAGTCCAACTCTCACATCCACACATGACCACTGGAAAAACCATAGCCTTGACTAGAAAGACCTTTGTCAGCAAAGCAATGTCTCTGCTTTTTAATATGCTGTCTAGGTTGGTCATGTTTGGCAGAAACAAACACAATTCTGTAAAGCAATTATCCTTCAATTAAAAAATAAATTAATTTTTTAAAAGAATCTTATAATTTTGAGTTTCTAACCTTCCCTTCCCTCTCCACACCTAATTTCTGAATCCATCTCCTCAATTCAGATATAGAATTCTTACTGTGCCCTTCACCAGTAGTTTGTTCCAAACTCAAGATTATTTACTCCCATCTTGGTACTCCCATTGCTGTCTAACCGAGTAAGAGATAATAATTATCTCTACATTCTTTAGTTAGTTGATTGCCACTGGTTCCTCTCTGGCTGGGATAGAAAATATTTGGCTCATAATCTCTGTTATGCATTAGTGCGTTCCTGGTATCTACCAAGAACTTGATAATGTCTGAGGAAGAGATGAATGTTAGGACAGGAGTTTCAAATGATCCTCAGACGGAAGAAAGGATTGTCAAATTACTGTCCTTAACCAAAGACTGCCCTGCTGGCTCAGACAGTAAAGGGTCTGGCTACAAAGTGGGAGACCCGGGTTCAATAACTGGGTCGGGAAGATCCCCTGGAGAAGGCAGTGGCAACCCACTGCAGTGCTCTTGCCTGGAAAATCCCATGGACGGAGGAGCCTGGCAGGCTACAGCCCATGGGGTCGCAAAGAGTCAGACAGACTGAGCAACTTCACAACCGAAGTAATATAAATGGCTCTTGGTTTTGTGCTGCTCCGGCCATCGCCTATGGCTGGGCCTAAACCTGTCTCTCCTCACCTTTCCCCCTGACCTCTACACTGTATCTCTCCTTCCCTGGATGGCTGTTTGAAGAGACTTGAGTAACCCAGCAAGATGGACTGGCCTCTAGACCTCAATAACATCTTGTCTTTGCAAACATTTAGCTTTGCAAGAAAATAAAAGTCCTTCTCAGAAGTGAGCTGGACACTAAAGCTCTTGCATGTAGCTTTAAACTATATAAATTCTTAGAAGTGTCTTCGCATCTGACTATGGGTAAGATATTTTTTTCCCTTAATCATCTCTAAAGTGAAAAGTCTGAGCCAGACTTTAATGATACTTTAAAACTTTCAAGCAGCCTCTGTGGTTTAGGTCTGCTTGGTTGTGACTGTTGACTCGCCCACTGATTAGCAATGACACCTTGCAAAAGTCACTTTGCTGAGTCTCACTTTCCTGTCTGTAAAATATGATAAGAAGGCACAGACTTTGTAGAATCATTGTAAGAATAATAGAATTCAGATAAACCTGGCATGAAAATTAGCTATGTTTATTACAGAAAAGCTCACACTGATACATAAACCAGATTTAATTTAGTTTTGTTGATCTTTTTAGAAGTCATCAGAATGTAGAGATCACTACAAAGTCTCAGTAAACTGTGAGGGACATTTGCAGTGTGTTTGGCTGCTGGGATCCACGGCACCCCTCTTTTGAAAGCAGCACTCCAATTTCCTTCTAAGAAATCACCTTTTGGGACTTCCCTTGTGGTCCAGTGATTAAGAGACTGCGCTTCCACTGCAGGGGTCAAGGGTTCGATCCCTGGTCAGGGAACCAAGATCCCACATGCTGAGAGGCACTGCCAAAAAAAAAAGAAGAGAAAACTTTCTTACCCTTCTCTGATTTCATACAGTTTGAATGACAAGGATCCACTCCAGTTTTACAGGCAGATTACTCAGATCTGATCAATTATAGATGTGCTTTTCTTTGAGCTCATGAGTGATTCTGAATGGCATGTGACCTCATTAGGACCAACAAGACACAGTGGGCCTTTAGCTGGAATGTCCTGAAAGGAAATGCTTCTTCCCACTAAACTGGACCCCAGGAGGATGTGAAGCTGGACCATGATAGTCTTCTTTCTTCCATGAGAAGCTGTCACTCCAAGTAGAAGGTCACAGTGGACTCAGAACAAGGTAGAGAGACACCCTGGGTTCCTTGCCTCAGCAAAGCATGCACATAGACACTTCTGCCAATCTCTTCAGTAACATGGGTCAGCAAATGTCTTTTTTGCTTCAGTTAGTTTTGAGCTTGAATTTGATATGTAATTGATGGAATGCTGACTCACCCAGGAGTTGGTCTTTTCTTCCTTCTGTGAATTAGGGTTTATGAACTCATACAAAACTCAGAAAGCAATCGTAACCACACACACCCCTCCCAGCCCTTCTGTCATCAGTCTCATCGTTTCAAAGGTCCTGCTTCAACTTCTTTTTTTGCCACACAAGCACCTTCACCAAGTCACCTCCTCTGCATCCCCGCTGGTCCCCGTGCTCCTCACTAGCTGCCTCCTAGTGCCTGGCTCCCTTGTTAATGTTGGCTGGTCCTCCACAGAGTCTAAGCTGGCCACTGGCGCCTCTTCAGGGCTATAATGAACAAATATCTAACCAACAGTCACGTATGGACTGATTCTGTCTTATTTCTCAGTGACAAAGAAAAATTTGAGTGTTCTGATCCTGTCTGAGGTTAGGAGAGACCTAGTTTGTTTATTTTTTGGAAAGCCATGCTGCTACTGCTAAGTTACTTCAGTCGTGTCCGACTCTGTGCAACCCCATCCCTGGGATTCTCCAGGCAAGAACACTGGAGTGGGTTGCCATTTCCTTCTCCAATGCATAAAAGTGAAAAGTGAAAGTGAAGTCGCTCAGTCATGTCTGACTCTTCGTGACCCCATGGACTGCAGCCCACCAGGCTCCTCCGTCCGTGAGATCTTCCAGGCCAGAGTAGTGGAGTAGGGTGCCATTGCCTTCTCCGGGAAAGCCATGAGCCTGCTCTAATTCAGCTGAGTTAATGAGAAAGGGAGGTAGCCCAGAGGCTCCACTGTGAACTGGTGGGCTCCTCGCTGCGGAGGCTGGAGAGGGCAGAGGAGAGAGTGGCTTGGCTGCCATATCATTTTCCTCCCTCTGGGAGCGTTTCAAGCATATTCTACCAATGTCAGGGAACCAATGACTCATGAAACAGTCGGGTGTTGATTTTGGGAAGGGGAGAGTAAGTCCCCGCTTTGGAGCTCACGGACGGCTCTGCACTAAGGTAAGATCTCATCGCCCCGGTGGGACTGACACGTTGGCAGGACTACTTGCTCGTTGCTGAGCTGGGGAGAGGCCATGTCCCCCGGATTTCAGGGGCGGGGTGGCGCCCTTGCAGTCAGAAAACACTGAGGCCGGGCCTTCCCGCGGTAACGCCTCCTGTGTCTCCAGGGGCCAAGCGCCGGGCCCTGAGGTGAAGCCTCGGTCCCCTGAGGGCAGAGAGCAGACAGACGCCGCCTTCCATCCCAAGGTGTTGGCGAGGTGAGGTGAGGAGCGCGTCCGGGCAAAGGCGAGCTGCCGCGGGGAAGCGGCTGTCGGAGAGGCCGGACCGCTCCCCCCGGACCTTCTCTCCCTTCCACCTGCCGGGCCTGGGGGGTGAAGAAGCCCAACTAGTGACTCAGAAGGGGAGGGCCGCGGGCCCCGAGAGGGGAAACGGTCAACAGAAGCCACGGCTCCGCAGACGGCGCTGGTCTCGTGTGAACACGCCGCCCTGCACGTGCCCGGTCAGTGCGAACCCCACCTGACCGATGGGGCACACGCACCCGGATGCTTTCTTTCTTCCCTTTCCTTTAGGGTCTGGAGCAAAGACCCGCACTTTCTGACCGCTTCTGCATCCTCCCAAGAGCCTACAGTCTCCCCTCAGTCTGTTTCCTTATTCGTTTCTTTTCTAAAATGGTGACGAGGTGTTTACAGACACTTGCGCATGTTTGGTGATGGTGACGGTGACGGTGAGGGGGTGTTCGCCGTGAACTGCGGTCTGAAGGCCTCGTCCGCCCCTTCTCAGCGGGTCCTGGCCGCGGGACTGAGGCAAAGTGCGGGGCGGGCCCTCCTTGTCGGCAGCCGCACGGGAGGCCGGCCCTAGAACGCGGCGTGGACGTGCGACAGGCCCTCAGCTTTCGGCCGTCGTTGCAGCGCCGGGTGCCCCGCAGAGGGCCGGCCCAGCCGGTACCGCTTGTGAAGAGAGGGCCTCGGTGCCAGTCCCCAGGCCCACTCTGTCTCCGCGCTGCTTCTTTTTCCTCACGTTGTTATGGCGAAACCCTAACCTTATTTTAGGGCTTCCCTCATGGCCCGGATGGAAAAGAATCTGCCTGCAATGCGGGAGAGCCGGGTTCAACCCTGGGCTCAGGAAGACCCCCTGAGAAGGGAATGGCTACCCACTCCGGGATCCTTGCCGGGGGAATCCCAGGGACAGAAGAGCCTGGTAGGTTACAGGCCATGGGGTTGCAAAGAGCTGGACACGACGGAGCGGCTCACACACACACAACCGTCTTCTCCGCTTTTCCAGATCTTTGTCTGAGCAGCCTGGTGATGGTGGAGAAGGCCGCACAGCAGGCCGTAGTGGAATCACAGGAAGCTGGTGATGGCACGGTCTCGTGGGCCCCCACACGGCTCAGCTCTCTCCCCGGGGACCATCACCCTGCCCCAGCCTCTGTTCACGCTCCCACCCTCTGACCAGCTCAGGGTCTCCGCCTTCCTGCACAGGAAGTTGAGGCCGGCAGGCCGGAAGTTCTTCAAGCTCAGCCGGCGAGTGTGCGCCTGTCTCCAGAGCGAAGCCCGTCTCCACCTCCCGTTCCATTGCTGGGGTGGTCCCTCCCCTACGGGCAGCCCGTCCTCCGTGTGCTTCAGACTCCACACTGCTCTGTCTTCACAGGGGCCTTACATTGTTAATGAGCCCCCTCGGCTGGCTCTCTCCATCAATATTTAAACACACGGCTCTCTTCAATCTGTGGGGAAAAAATTCCCCTCATGTTACACCTGTGTCCTCGTACAGCTTCTTCTGTTTTTCCTGCAAACAGCCTTCTAATCCTTTCCAGTTTTCAGGGCTAAACTTCTCAGAAGGCCTGTCTGCACCCGGGGCCTCGTTTCCTCTCCGCCCCACCGGCTCCCGCCTCTCCCGCCTCCACCGCACTCGCTGAGATCACAGTGACCTCGCTGCCGCCCCACCCAAAGGTCCCGCTTTCATTCCCCGCCTCCGGGCAGGATTTCACACCGCTGATCCCTGCCTTCTTCATGGCGACCGCAAGTTGCCGCGCCTTCCTGGATGTCTCCCTCCGTCTCTGGCTGAGTCCTCCTCTTTGCAGCGCCTTTCCCCCGCTAACCTTCCCTCACAGCTTCTCGAGGCTTCAGGGGAGACTTCCCTGCTGGTCCAGTGGTCAGAACCCTGCACTTCCTCGGCAGGGGTGCGGGTGTGTGAGCTGGCCAGGAAGCCGAGGTCCCACATGCCACACAGTGTGGCTACAAAAAAAGAAAGGGAATTCTCTCAAGGGTTAGTCTTAGACCCTCTTCTCTTCCTTTCTGTCCTTTCTCTCAAGAACCTCCTTGACAGCATCGAAACACGTATATTATCTAGGGTGAACGGATCGCCAGCCCAGGCTGGGTGCATGAGACAGGTGCTCGGGCCTGGTGCACCGGGAAGACCCAGAGGGATCCGGTGGAGAGGGAGGTGGGAGGGGGGACCGGGATGGGGAATACATGTAACTCCATGGCTGATTCATGTCAATGTATGACAAAAACCACTGCAATATTGTAAAGTAATTAGCCTCCAACTAAAAAAAAAAGAATCTCCTTGATGTACACGGCTGTCATGACTGCCTAATCGGGGATGACTTAAACCTCAGTCTCCAGTGCAGATCTCCCGGAGTCTCACACGTGTGTGTCCCACTCTCTGTTCACCGTCACCTCCTGCATGTTCCGAGGCTGCCTTGCGGTCACCCTTTATAAAGAGCTCCAGAGTCAGGAGCTCAGGTTTCAGTGCTGCCTCTGCCTTTAGACGTGATTCCTGCAAGCTGCTTTACTAAGCTTGAGGGACTAGGTTCTTATTAGCTGGGGCTTTTGCGATTTTTGTGTGATTTTGAAGCTAAAACCTTACAGATAGGTGAGTTTTCAGTAGGCAGACATGAGTAGATGGGCTTAAAGGACACATGAGCTAGGCCATAGAGATATCAAAAGTGCATAATTGCTTAGGCACACAGGGAACTTGGAGCATGAGGGCAGAGATAGGCTGAAGAATGTCAGTTAGAACAGGGTATTTTTGCTGTGTATCTAGGAGACAATATTTGATGAATGGAGTAAGATGGTTGGATGCAGACTCAAGATAACTTTGGTAGGAACAGAAAATGGATCTGAGAGGTGTAAGGATAGTATATGAAAAACTTATTTGAAAAAGATAGAGCAAAAGGTGATAAAAGACCCAAGGTGGGTAATGAAAGCAGTGAAGTAGTAACTGTGGTGGTCCAGTAGTTAAGACTCCCAGCGTCCAGTGCAGGGGACATAGGTTCAATCCCCGATCAGGTAAACGAGATGCCACATGGTGCATAGCACTGCCAAAAAAAGACACAGTGAAGAAAAGGGCCTTAGAAGAAGAGCCACTAAGAGGGTAGACACAGAAGTGTTTGGTATCTGGGGGATGATTGAGTTGGAGAATCATTTATTCAACAGATATTTTTAACACCTATTTTGTGCCAGATGTGATATGGGTATTGGCGTCCAAAGATGAAAAGACTTGATCATTGATTTCCAGGAAATATGTTAATTAATAATTACAAAGAATATGGTACAAGTAAGAATGGGCACATGTTCAAGGGACAGTTAAATCATAAAGAAGTTTTATGTCTTTCTGGGTGAATAAGAATAAACATCATAGAGGAGGTATTTGATCAAAGATTGAAAGAATGAACTAAGGAGGTGATTGGGGTAAAAGAAGAATATTCAAGACCAAGGCTCAAGTCTTACTCATTTTTATATTCCTAGAGCCCATTTTGTAGTGTGCAGAAAATAGAATAACCATACAATTCTGGGGTCTAGCAGAAGATGGCTACAAAGGGAGGTGGAAGATGACGAAGCAATGAAAGAGAGGAAGGAAACGATGACCATTCAGAGGCTGAACTTAGAGACCATGTGGTGTTTTCCACATCCTGAATGGTACCATGACAGCTTGAAGGAGCTGATTCTGCCTTTGAAGTTTGCCAGCCTACAATTAAGAGAGTTCAGCTATCAGGAGAATACAATTCAATAAACAGAATTACAAATTTTTATTCTAATTACGTTCAGAAGCTTTAAAATACAATTATATTTTGGTCCAAGGGACAGGCCACAGATTTAAAAGAGTCAGAAGTCTTGATATTTTCTGGAGTCTTTTTGCTCATCTTTAATTGAAAGGATATTTACTTTTCAAGCCAGTTTTCAGGTCAATCCAATTATGCTTCTCTGTGACACATACTCTCATTTCACCTTGGCAGATTGGTTTCATTAGAAATAATCCACGGTGGGGGTAGTGTTAACATAATATTGCTTCTAAACTCGGCACAGTTTGATGAAAGATTTGGATGTACTTGGTGGGTTGCTGTTCCAGTTTCAGACCTTTTGCTGGCATTCCCTGAGAGTCTGCCAAGAGCAGGGGATGACAGCTAAATGGGCTTTTCATGCTCTGAATGTGGCCGTGGAGACTCAGTCCTGTGACTCTCTTTAAAAGCCTTGGGGAATTGATGATCAAGAGGCCCTGGGCTCCTCTGAGAAATGTTGTTTCAAATGAGTGCTTGCCAATTCCAAACTTACCAGTTAAAACTGGAAGATGAATTAGGTCATCTCTCACATTTATGCATTGTTTAATCCAATTTGCAATGTTATGTCACATACATTATCCCATTGGATCTTCATAGTCACTCCAGGTTGTAGTCAAGAACGGTCTTGTTTTTTCCATTTTATGGATTTTACAGATGAGGACTGGGTTGAAAGAGAGTAACTTGTTTGTTCGTAAATGCTTATGAGGTCTGGGAATCAACTTGGTCAGTTCGTTCCCACTCTAGGGCTTATTATACTTAACCAGGTGGTTTTACTTGGTAAGACTTTTAAATTTATTCATTGAATGAATGACAATACAGTCTTTGCAGCAGATAATGTCCATACCACAGGTTTAAGCAGGCAGGTATAATGAAGATGGAAAAGGTACTAAAGACCATGATTTGCTCTTCAAGGCTTGGACTTCATGCATCTTTGTGTCTAGCACAGTGATGGCTTTACTGATTCATTAGCCCGACTCATCATACATTTGGGATCCCCAGGTGGCACTATTGGTGAAGAATCTGCCTGCCAATGCAGGAGACATTAGAGACACGGGTTCGATCCCTGAGTTGGGAAGATCCTCTGGAGGAGGGCATGGCAACGCACTCCAGTATTCTTGCTTGGAGAATCCCATGGACAGAGGAAGCTGGCGGGCTATAGTTCATGGGATTGCAAAGTGTCAGACATGACTGAAGTGACTTACCACGTGTGCACACATCATGCATATACCAAGTATCTCCTCCTGAGGTGTACAAAGAGTACTCTACAAAGAAGACAGAATGACCGTAACAGGAATCTTTCATGGAAGTTCTATTTCATTAAGACAATTTGCCTCACCCACTTCACTGTACGAAGGAAGATTATTCTTGAACTTTTTTGATATTCACATTAATTGCATCTCAAGTTGCTTTGGTAGAAGACACTGCTGGCCCAGGTTTCTGTACCCGCCACAGTGATTCTTCAAGGGAGCAATCTGACGCCCCCCCCTTGTTATCTGCTGCCAGAGAGCTTACCATTGTTACAGTGTTTTGGTTTCTTCTCATGCAAAGGTGTTATTCTCAAAGGGCTCACAGTGGTTGTTGATCGGGACAAGCTTGGACGTCAGTAGCAGGGCCCACTAGAATCAGCTTTCCTCTGTAAGCAGTAGGCCTTGGCCTTAAACCTAGACTTGTCTATGCTCCATCTTTTTGAGCCCTTTTCAAAGGCCTTTGTTGGACTTCAGTTGACATCATTCCAATCTATCAGAGAGAGTTTAATGTTGACTATCACATTGGAAGTTGTTGAAGCATCTACCACCTAAGTGGGCTTCCTAGGTGGTGCTAGTGGTCAAGAACTCACCTGCCAATGCAGGAGACCCAGGTTCCATCCCTGGGTCAGGAAGATCCCCTGGAGAAGGAAATGTCAACCTGCTCCAGAAGCCTTACCTGGAAAATTCCATGGATAGAGGAGCCTGGTGGGCTACAGTCTATAGGGTTGCAAAGAGTCGGACACGACTGAGTGACTGAGCACACACACCATATATGTATCCAAAAGTCCGTTAACCTACGTGCAAACCTTGCCATCTAATCACAGATGTGCCGTGTCTTTGGCAAAACAAAGAACATCTGGGGGGGCTTTTGGCAAATACCTCCAGATGATTCCCATTAACTCTTGCCTTATCTTTATATATCTAAGAGAGGTATTTTGGGTGATTCTTTGTGGAACCAAGAAGTCAAGAGGATATGTCCTCTACATTATTTTACCTAACAAAACCAGGAACAAATTCATGATTTCCTATCAAGGCAACTTGATATAACAGTGTCCCAGACTACTGAAAAAGTTGAAAGCCTTAGTGTGACTTAAATATTTAGGTAAGCCTTCTATACAGAAGTAGAACTTTGTCCTGACATTTAAATGCTAAATGTGTCTAAGAAAGAAGTCTAAGAAATTATATAGAAATACAGAATTTATGAACGTTTGACTTGTAAATCTCTGCTCAAGCTATACCTCACTCTGTTGTGAGAAAAAGGGAGAAAAATGTCTTCTGTTAGAATGTCTAATAAGGGGGAAAAGGACAAAGATGAGGTGGCAGGAGAGACAGCAGGGCTCTGAGTCCAAGAAGGATAAAAAGGCTGAACTACATGTTGACACTAATTTCAGGGTTGGTCTGCGGCTGATGTGAAAATGCTGGAGTCAATGGACTAAAGAAAGAACCGCCGTGAATTAGGGGTTATCAGGACAGCTGCAGTGGGCTGAGCGCTCAGTGGCAGGGCGTTCAAGTTCAGTGGCTCTGGGGCCTAGAGCCTTGATCATCACTGCACCCTGCATCGCGGGGGCCATGCGTGCTCCGTGGCGCTGACCTGAGAGCTGGCCCTGGGGGGGTTCTGATTATGTTTGCGACCTTTTATTCCATTCGGAGCATCGTTTTTCAACTTTCCTGTTAATCCTGTGGGCTACCAGTTTTCTCCCAAGAAATCACTGCTTTTGCTTAAGTTATTCAGTGGTACTTTCTGTCCTTTGTAAACAAGAAGCTTGACAAGTGCAGGTCCTGGAACCAGTAGTATACGCAGGTGTATTTTAGGAAAATGTGAGAACTGTGGGGCTCGTTGAATAGATTAGAATGAAGAGCAATGAAAGTTCAGCTCAAATTCAGTCTTGAGCATCTAGAGCTCGTGGTGCACAGTTGAGAAATCTGCTAATGAAGCTTGTCAGTCTGGGATAAAACACATATGAAAAGCAAGGTTTGGTGGACTGAGTCGTTTCATGCCTGGGGTGCAATGAAGACTCCTAGAATTTGAGAACTATTGGCTGAGGTGGGTATCACATGGTGTCTCAGCAGAAAGAAGATGGTACACACTAATAGGGCAGCTGAGGAAAGTCTAACAAAGGGCTTATTAGAGCATTGTGAGCAGGGCTAAGGGAAATCAAGAGACGGTGCAGCAGCGTAGGGATTTGAACTGCAAGGTCCCTACAGCCCCCGCACCTGAAAGCGAGAGGCAGGAGCAGTTACCAGGGCCCCGAGATAGCTGTTCGTGCCGCCGCAGGCTTATAACAGAGCAACTGTGGACTTCGGTAAGAGGATCCAGCCGCTGCCTTCTCCTGTCCTGGCAGGCTGCAGGCCAGGAGGTAAATCCTCCCTTATCTTTCTCAATCTGATTCTCCCCCTCAGGCATCCCAAGGGCTGCAGGCAACTGAAGCTGCAAGGCTGAGGTCACCTGGTTGATGCAGAACCTGGAGATGGCTTTTGGGGGCAAAGAGCAAGGAAGTGAAGAATGGAGTGTAGATCAGGGCGGACAAACAGAGGCTGTTCTTCACGGGGCGGCTACTTCTAATGGCGCTAGAGAGAGCTTTCAAGAGATTAGCCAACTCAAATTCCTACATTCTTGGCTCAAGGAACACCCTGAAAGAAACGTATTTTCTATGACCATGGAAAAGAATATCTTATCTCTCAGAGTCTTAGGACAGGGATGGCCCCAAACCAAACAGTTTTGTTCCAAGATTTGACATATCACAGAATCAGCTTAATTCAAAGTTTGTTAGACTTCTTCTAAAGTTACGACAGTGAAATAGGATGGGACCTCCATGAAACAGAATGGGACCCTGTGAAAGAATTAAGTGTCTACACTCGCAACTGCAGTGAGCCTTCACGGCCAGCTGAAATAGCTTACCCCTTTCCAAGACTGCTGTAGAACTTTGTGACCAAGTCTGACTCTTGCAGGAGAAGTCATTTCTTCCTCTGTCCTCTCTACCAACCTGACTAGCTGTCTGTTAAACACTTGCTCCTAGAATATCTGGGTTGTGTGTGTGTGCTCAGTCATGTACGAGTCTTTTTGACCCCATGGACTGTAGCCCGCCAGGCTCCTCTATCCATGGGATTTCCCCTTCAAGAATGCTGGAGCAGGTTGCCATTTCCTACTCCAGGGGATCTTTCCCACTCAGGGATCGAACCTGCATCTCCTGCATTGGCAAGCGGATTCTTTACCACTGTGCCACCGGGAAAGCCCATTTATTTTTATTGTCCTCATGAACATATGAGTATAGTGAAATACCCCACTTTTATACACTTTTTATCTTACAAACTTTCTAGTTTCTCAAATTCTTCTAATAGTGAAAAGTATATTTTATTCAAAGTCAAAATAGAAGACAACACCAATGCTTTTTAGACTGTTGATTCCAAAGGTTGAAAAAGTAAAGTGTAATGAGGACAGAAGCATCCAGAGGGTCGCAGTGGACAGTGAGGGAGCTGAGCTGGAGACAGCTGCTCACTTTCAGCATAAAGTCTGAGAAATGGAGGAGAAGAATTGCAAACGCTGCTATTTGATGTCTCTTCAATCCCACGACCAACACGGGATCAAGTAAAACTATGAGGCTGGGGGCAAAGGTATTTATGGGATTGTTCCCTAGAGGTGATCTGGGGAAGGGGTGTGTAGCACCGGGATTCAAAGAGGAAAAGGGAAAAAAAGAGGACCTACGAATAAAGAGTAGAACTTGAGGACGCAGATAGACATTATAACTCTTTCCTAAATCTATGCCTTCTTTCTAAATTGACAGAGTAAGTAGCAAGGCCTAATACTTCATGTGCTGTCTTGACATCTTTGAGCCTCATATGTGCGTGCTTGGTCATGAACGACTCTTTGCAACATCATGGACTGTAGCCCACCAGGCTCTTCTGTCCATGGAATTCTCCAGGCAAGAATACCAGAGTTGGTTGCCATTTCCTTCTCCAGAGTATATCTGAGTTGGGGACATTTAAAAAATTAAATCTGAGAAAAGAATTTTATACTCCAAAAGTATTACAAGAATTTACTAATTTATGTGGACAAAAATCTAAGATATGTGTGCAGGAATGGATTCTGAGGGTGTTGAGTTAAAAATGGAAGAAGATCATTTTATTTCAGGCTGAGTTTTTGGAAATTGGTCTATTTTCAGTTTATGTTGGGTTCATTGTGCATGTTTAAACATCTGGGAGTGGTTCTAATTTTTTTTCACTTGGTTGACTGAAATCTGGACCTACATGAAAAAGATGCCAGTTTCACTGTAGAGATGGAATCTAAAGACTTTTAAGATGGGAGGGTTGAGATGGATGAATTATGTATGACTCACCTACTCGTTGCTTAACCAAGGTCCCCAAAGGCCTGCACTGCAGCTTGACTCTGCCCTTTGTCTGCACTGCTTCCTTCCCCACCTTTCCACAGGTGCTGATCCCAAGGGCTCTCTTAAATAAGTATACTGAAATTTAAATGCCGTCTCAGAGTTTACTTCTCAAAGAACCCAACCTATAACATCAGCTATGTGCGTGCGCTAAGTCACTCAGTCGTGTCCGACTCTTTGTGATTCCCTGGACTACAGCCCACCAGGCTCCTCTGTCCATGGGATTCTCCCGGCAAGAAGACTGGAGTTGGATGCCATGCCCTCTTTCAGGGGATCTTCCCGACCCAGGGATTGAACCCGTGTTTCTTATGTCTCTTGCACTGGCAGGCAGGTTCTTTACTAGTGCCACCTGGGAAGCCCAACATCAGCTGTAGCCTCATCTCAATTACAAAAATGAGGAATATAACATCAACCCATATTTCTTATCTTGCAATGTGTGTGTGTGTGCACACAGGCGTGTATGTATACTTCATTATCTGCTTTCGCTATCTCACTTTCATACGTGTGTGCATATCATATATTGTCAGATAATGACTTTTATTTATTTGGCTGTGCTGACTCTTAGTTGCAGCATGTGGAATTGAGTTCCCTGACCAGGGGTGGAACCTGGAGCCCTGCACTGAGAGTCTGGAGTCTTAGCCACTGGAGCACCAGGGAAGTCCTGGGTAATGATGTCTCATCTAGTCAAAGTGGAAGAATATCAGGGAGGAGTAAGATCCGGAACCCGGGGCTGGCTACAGGACCCAACGAGACATTGTTTTGCTCCCATCAGATGACTCTGAGAGGCTGGTTGTCTTGAGAAGTGTTTCACTGTGTTTACAGGAGCAATGCTTTTAAAAACATTAAGAAGCAAAGAAGGATCTGGGGAGACCTTAGCCAGAATGGAGGATGTCATGAATGTTAGTCAGTCTGACTTCCCAGAACCTCAAAATGTCCTTTGCATTTTGGAGAAAGTCCTGAGAGAGGTGGGAGGTTAGTCTCACTACAGAACTGGAAGCAGTGGGCTATTCTCTTTTCAGCTTTGCTCTAGTAGCTGAACATGATTATGCAACTGATGTGTAGCCAATCAGATTCTCCAGCATCCAACTCTGAATGTTGAGGAAACTCTGCAAACACTTAGCATGGTCACTTAACAATTATTTCTGCACAAGCTGGCAGATTCACGAGTCCAGGTTGTTACAGCAGGGACCTGGTGGCTGAGGGATCTTCTGTGTAAAGCAGTGATGTTAGAAGCGGACTGTCTCCAGGCTGTTTCCCTAGGTCCCTGCCGCGCTGGTTCCCTTTCCTGGTCAGTTGGTCAGAATCCGTCTGTCATTTGCATCCCATGCTGTCGCTGGGATCTGAACCCCAGGGCACTCCTGAGTCCTGGGCACAGGTCCTTAGTGGGGTTGAGGAGCTCAGGCACTTGAACTTCAGGGCAGGTCGGTGCAAGGTAGATGGAAAGAGGGCAAGGCGAGCACTACTCCACCACCGACACGCTGGGACGGACCAGCTTTCCTGGCCTCCGCTCTGAGCAGCCTGGGTCTGTCCAGTGAAGGAAACGACGCTGCGGTGGCCCCGCAGGTAGAACACGAGGGACCTTCTGTCTTCCTCCGGCCTGGACTCTGCTCTGTGGTCTCTGCTCTCTGCTTTCCTTATTTACCTATGACACCGGCACGTTTTGTGTTGGCAGGGACACATCCCAGATAGCCCCGCTGCCTAGACGTGAACACACCCTGACTTTATTTACAAGTGATTTCCAGCACAGTGGAGAGCAGCTGCCTCGGGGCTTGGACTGGTGTCTGAGCGAGAGGCGCGGAGCCATCTCAAAGGCCCTGCGTTCCACAGCCTCTGAAACACCGGCAGGAACAGAGAAGCCTGTTGGATCCCACAGCTAGAAACTCTGGAGCATGGACCATCTCCGTCAGAGCAGTCCTCTAGTTTATTCACTCGGATGCACTCTCAAAGCTGTGCACTTCACCTGTGACTGTCACAGCAATGGCAAGAAAAGAGGTTACTGGTAAACCCAGACAGGCTGCCAAGGCAAGCACACGCAGTTATCCACTTCTTGACATTCTCATTGCAACAAGTAAGTTGTAAATCTCCTGTTATTTAAATGGCAGATGTTAGAGAGTGTTATATTTGTTAAGGTAAACCTATAAAAGGGCAAAGTTAACTCACAGCATCTGGAAAGTAGGCTATAGGTTAATCCCTTCAGATTCAGGAAGGGATTGAGGAAGGAAGTCTGGGAAGCAAAGACCACCCTAGGGACCAAGAATTAACAGAGCAGAGCCCCCCTTGTAGTCTGAAGTTGGGGCACTGTTAGTAAAACACCAACATTCCCTTCTGTGATGGACTAAATGCTTGTACCCCCTTCGCCTCCCTTTCCAAATTGACATGTTGAAGCCCTCATCCCCTAGGTGATGGTATTTGGAGGTGGGAAATGTGGGAGGGAATACGGTTATGAACATGGAGCCCTCACAAATGAGATTCGTGCCCTTTTAAAAAAAGATGTGGAGGCTTCCCCGGCGGTCCAGTGGCTAAGACTCTGTGCTTCCGCGGCAGGGGCATAGCTTGGATCCCTGCTCAGGGAACTAAGACCCTACATGCTCCACAGTAGAGCCAAAACATAAAGGAGAGAGAGACTTGACGGGGCTTGGTCTCTCTTTGCCGTGTGAGGAGACGGCCGAAGACGGCCATCTGCAAGCCAGGAGCAGGGTTTTTACAGGGAACCAGATTAGCAGCACTCTGCTCTTGGATTTCACAGCCTCCAGCACTGTCAGGGGTACAGGTCTGCTGGTCACACCGCCCAGCCTGTGGCACCCAGCTGCAGCAGCCTGATCGAATGAAGAGTGAGACAGCCCCAAACAGAAAGGCGGCTGGCGTCTCTCGGTGAAGCAGGGAAGCCTTCCTCAGAGGCTTATAACTATAGCAGTGGCTCGTGTCTCATATACAACTGGACGAGCGCACCAGACACGGAGAAAGCACATCGTCTGGAGAGAGCTGCAGACAGAACCTCTACCACATTACTTGTTAGAAGTTACTGATTACCGGCTCTTCGCCCACACAGACATTTTCTCAATTCATCCTCTCAGCTGTGCTCTGTGGAAGCTTTTATTGTGTCCATTTTACAGACGAGGCTCAGAGAAGATAAAGGCACTCTTCAAAGTCTTTTTCTGTGTGCCAGAATGCCAGAACCTGGCTTTGTCTGGTTTTGAAGGTCAGGCTGTTTTTACTGTTTTGACTAGAGTTGGAATAAGACATTCATAAAACATCTGCCCACAAGATAGGCATGTTAGTCTGCTCACGGCTCATCCCTGTCTTTCTGAGGTTAACAAAAACCAGTGTGCTTTTTTTTTTAACCACATGTCCCTGGGTACCATTGTCAGATTCAGACCCCAGGCTGCCCTGAAACTTGATCCTCCCCAGTGTGAGATCTTTCATATTCTCCTGTTCTTTGACCTCACGATTTACCTAAAGCACAACATCAATCCAGTTTAGTCTGGAACAAGTTCTAAAAGAAAGCACATTACTCGACGCGCTGGGGAAGAGAGGACAAGGGAGGTGGGATGGAAACAAACTTTGTTTGTGAGAGCGCCTGTGTTTTGTCACAAGGACCAGGGTCACGTGGCACTTTCAGAGAACCCAAACAACCAAACCACCAACATGCAGAGTGGTTTTAAAGACATACGGTTCGAATCACCCTCGTTCCATGGAGTAACAGAAATAGGAGCTGAAAATGACCTGCCTGGCCACCCTGTCCTTCCGGAGTCAGTACAGATGGTTCTCTGTGGCCGAGGCCAAGTGAGGGCTCTTGGTTTTGATGAGCTCAGTGCTGGGGGAACCTCGTTTGCTCCCCCTGGGAGTTGGCCACCTAACTGTTCTTACTGCTTGGAGATGTTCCCAACCCCAAGCCAAAGCTCTCCTTTGCTACCCTTCATCTCATTGTTCGTCCAGTATACTCACAGGCCTCTGACTCATCCTTTTGTCTCTGGCAGTTTCCATTCTTCGCAGAGGCTGGCATGCCACGCTCAGGGTGTTCCCCTAGCGCCTGACTTCTCCCAGTACCCATCAGCAAGTCACGCTTTCCCAAGATCAGGAAGCTCAGGCATGAAGCCCAGAGATGCTTTGCACATGAGTGGCTTTGGGAGGTGGTGGAGAGCTTAGCCAAGTTTCCCTAGGTCTTCTCCTCACAGCTAGTCTTTCTCAAACATTGCCATTAGTACATCCTTAATGGCAGAGTCAAGTGAATGCATATCTCAGAGGGCTCCACCCGAAGTAGCTTGCGATTTCTTCAACATGGTGTATTTGGTCTTACATTTTCATATCTGAAAGGTATCTGTGCTTTCTTTAATGAAAAAAAGAATGTTTTGAACACAATCCAATGAAAATATTCCACTTTGCACACTCTCCTACCTGCAACCCTAGTCCTGCAGAATCCTCAAGTAAAATTGTCATTGTAGGAGGAAATTCCATGGCGGTCCAGTGGTTCCTGGAGAAGGAAATGGCAACCCACCCCAGTATTCTTGCCTGGAGAACTCCGTGGACAGAGGAGCCAGGCAGGCTGCAGTCTATGGGGTTGCAAAGTGTCAGACACGACTGAGCAACTTTCACTCACTCACTCCAGTGGTTAGAACTCCATGCTTCCACTCCTGAGGCCGCGGGTTCAATCCCGGTCAGGGAGCTAAGGCCCCCACCCTTCCTGAACTCTGAGCGTCTTCGTGTTTTCGGAGTCTGACACCCGCTTCTGCCCTGGTAAGACTGAGGATTGCAGCCTTTGTGCGGTTTTAAAGAGAAGGTATTTGTGAGACACTCAGCCTGAGTCCTGCAGGCAGTGAATAAACGTGACTGGCCCTTCCTTCGTCTGGAGGAGAAGACCAGGAGATAAGAGCTCTCCGATCCTCTCTCTGGGTCCTCTCTCGTCCCGGCATCGCCCTCTTGGGCCCCGCTGACTTGCTGGAACAGAAAGTTACCCGCGCCTCCTTGGGGCCGCGTGTGACTGCATGTGGAAGGTCCTCCTCCGCCCTCCGGGAAGAACCGGGCCGGAGCCTCGGGGCAGCGCTGCGCTGGGCGGGCTGGCAGCGGCCTCATTTCTCTCTGCTCTCCGTCTCTGACCGGTCTGCGCCCGTCTCCCGAGCGCCTTCTCCTTCTGCTGAGGCCGAGGCCGACGGGCAGCCCCGGTCTGTCCGGAGGGGCCCCGCACCAACCCCAGCGCTCATAGCCCTGCCCACCAGGCCGAGCGGGTGATGGAGCGGTCGGTGTCCGTGGTCTCACCAGCCCCTGTCTGCCCCGTGTACGTTCGGGGGCCTAACCTCTGCGTCACCCTTGTTGAAACAGCGTCTTCCTTTGTGTTGGCCGCCCTGGGTCTGGCCCTGCAGGCTCTCGCTGGGGCGGCAGGCGGGGGGCGGCCCCCAGCGCGGTCGCGGGCGGCTCATCGCAGTGGCCCCCCTGTCGCAGGGCCGGGCTCGAGGCCGGGGACTCGGTCATTGCGGCGCGTGGGCTCAGTGGCCGTGAAGCTCGGGCTGTGTCGCCCCGAGGTCCGCGGGGTCTTCCCGGCTCAGGGATCGAAACTGTGTCTCCCGCGTTGTAGGCGGATTTTATGTCGCTGAGCCCCCGGGGGAAGCCCTGCGTAAGCCCCGTTCACCCTTTCTCGTGAGCGCAGGGCCAAGTCGCTGGGCGGGTCTTTGCATGATCTGTCAATCTGTTTATTTATCGATCCATCCATCCATCTGTCATCTATCTCTAGGATTTAAAAGATCGGTCCAGGGTCTGAAACCCCTCTGATGTTGGGGCCCGAGGACACGTTTTTCACCAGTCGAGGGGGAAGCCAGGTCCTCCCCTCTGACTAAGGATGCCGACAGGACACAGCCTGCCTCATGCTCAGTCCTGGCAGCTGGCGAGTGAGCGCCGGCCTGGACTCAGACAAGCAGGGGCTTCGACCTGCGACCCTGAGCCTGGAGCCCGTGATGCCGAGTAGCGGGGAGCACGTCCGAGTTCGTCCCAGAGGCAGGGGTGGCGCCGTGTGCATGCCTCAGGAGAGGCATCCAGGGCAGGCTGCTCGGAGGAGAGGGCCTCGGTGGGGACCCTGGGCCGTCACCCTCTCTTTGCTCTTCCTTCCACTTTGAAACTCGTTTCCTTTGCCTTCTCATCAGTTTCCTGAGCCATTGCCTGCCCTTCCAGAAATCCTGGTGTCCTTCAGTTAGCTGGAGTTTTGATTACTTGCGTTCAAGAACCCTGACTCAACAAACCCTTCAGCCCAGCCCCACCGACCCGAATCATACTGCTGCCCGCTGCTGGGTGGGCGTCTGTAAACGTGTGAGGTGACCTGCAGGGAGCAGCTTGAGTGTGCCCCCACATCCCCCGCCGTGAAGGACTTGTTCCCAGAGGCTGGAGTGCTGGGCGGACGGCGGTGCCCGCTGCCCGGGGGCTGACCCGCAGCGCTCGCCCGGCCCGAGGCCACACCCAGCAGGCCCACTCAGCGCTGGGGAGAGGGTCGTCCGCCTGCTGGGAGCCACCCTGAAGGGCCGGCCCCGGGCCTGGAGCCCCTGGGAGCTTTGCTGAGGTTGGAGCTCGACCCCTCTCTGCCCAAGTGTGCGTCCATCCGCTCTCTGCACATCCGGGGCTGATCTTCAGAAACTCCTATAAAATCCCCTGCATGCTGGCCTGCATCGCAGAGTCTACTTCCTGGGAAACACAGTATGTGGGAGATTTTGATAAGTCAATTGTTGGGGCCCCAGTGCAGTAAGAAAACGTATCTGCCGAATAACTGATTCCTTTTAGAGAACAGAAGACCATCCTTCTCTTGCCTAAAATTGATCTCCATATCCACTCTGAATCCACCTCTTTTCCCCCCTTTGCTTCTCTATAGACCTGTCTTCACCCTCTTTCTCACATACTCCTGACCCTCAGACACGAGAGGGTCTCGAGGCTTTGTCTCGGCTTTCTTCTCTCCAAGGAGTCAGTCACCGACACGGCTGGCGGGGTCCAAGGGCTGTTGACTGTCTGTGTGTCTGTTACATCCCAGCACCTGTCACATGCTTGGCACTTAGCAAGCACTCAATACATACTTCATTTATTGACTGAAAAGTGGTATCTTCTACATTTCTCTGTTGGGGAAAAGAAAGTTAACCCAGTAGCAACTTAGAAGATGTTTTGAAGAGGAGAAAGTTTATTCTAAGCCTCTTGGAAGACCTATGTTCGCTTTTATAGTTAGTCTAACATTATTATTTCTTAGAGCCTTTCCTCAGTCATCAAGCGAGGCAAGGCCTCTTTCTTTTGTTTTTATTCACATTCAACTGCAAATAATTGGTGTGACTGAAGTGCTTTTCTCAAAGGGAAAAGGTATTTTAACAGATACCAGTAATACAAGATAAATGTGTAATGAATAATAATTTTAAACATTTTCATGTTAGCTATGCTTATTTTGTTTGGCTTTGCAAAGGGGAACCACTTACATGATCTCATTTGTTATATACAATCTATGAGGCCATTTCTTATTCTTTCCATTTTATAATGGTTCAAACTGAAAGTCAGGGAATGTAACCTTCCTACCCCAAATTACACAGCTGGGAAATGGAGGATTATTTAAACCATTTACAGTCATTTAATTGTAAATTGCATGCTTTATGTTTTATTTGATGCTGTTGAAGCTAAACCTGGAATTTCAGGCTTCTTTGGTTTGCCAGGTAGGGGCGGTTTGGTGAGATTCTACCTTATGCAACTTGTCGGGAGGATCCGTGTGTTTGGATACACTCAGTCGTGTCCAGCTCTCTGCAGCCCCATGGACTGCAGCCCACCAGGCTCCTCTGTGGGATCCTCCAGGCAAACGTACTGGAGCGTGTTGCCATGCACTCTTTCAGGGGATCTTCCCGACCCAGGAACTGAATGTGCGTCTCTTGAATTGGCAGGTGGATTCTTTACCAACTGTGCCACCTGACTTATTTATGAAAGCTAAACCCTCGCTCCTTTCTGTGATGCCTCTTAGAAGAGAAGCCCCGCTGTCTAGCTGTCAGTCTTTTCTGAAAGAACTCCTGGATGAGAGAGAAGCCTATATTTGTTTGGAGGGTATATCCAGTGCATGGGCTCCAGGGACAACGTTTGTCCTGAGAATCCAGCAGTCAACTAAGGGAGAGATAGCAAAACCAAGTAAGACAAAGCTTTTACGTGTAACTGCTACTGATTCAGATTAGGAAAAGGTAACCGGCCTCTGTGATTGCGGAAGTCCTGTTATGAAGCTGTTTCTTTAAAGCAGAGGAAGGCAGAAGAGTCGGTCTGGAAGAACCCAGTTGCACCCTGATAGCGATCTGGCCCCAGGCTCAAAGCATTTCTCTCTTTCCAGAGCCCGGTACCCACAGAGCCCCATGCTGGAGTGCCAGCTGCGACTCTGCTATACTTTTCATTTGGAAATAAATCTTCCTTTCCAATTTTCCAGGCCTCTCTGTCTAACCATGTTCTTGGCACACCGTTTGATCACAGCTCAGACATTTTAACCTGCTTAAAAATACTGTGGATGGATTTTCCAGGAAGGCTAACCTAGACTTGAAAACAATGTTTGATCTTAAGGAATAGCTTTCTTTCTTTTTTTCTTTTTGCCCACTGTCATGCATAAAATACACCTCAATAAGCTGTCTAGAGTGCCTGTGTGTACGTGTGTGCACGTGTGTGTGTGTGTGGCGTTTGGGGACTGGAAAAGCAATTTCACCTTATTGATGGGGAAGCAAAGTGCCTGAAAGGTCTTGCCCTGCTCTGAGTATTCACAGATGGGATAGGCAAACCTGTTATTGATAATGTGGAAGAATCGGCGAAGTGTTCGGAAGACAAGGCAGTAGTCAGTGTAGACCCTTTTTGCGGAGGTCCTGATGATACTTCTCAGACATCCGCATCCATCTGAAAATCTCCCTGACCCGGACCTTTAAGCACTCGCATGCAGCCGCTGAGGTTGTTACTGTTGCACACCCTCCCTCCTTCCTGCTGATATCTCCTGAGTGCTCACGGCCTGCTGGGCACCTTGTTCAACGATTTATGCAGATCTCTGTGCTAAACCTTACAAGCCAGAGAGGTGGGCCCTAATTACCGTCTCCACCACCCAGAGGAGAATACAGAGGTTTGTCTAGGGTAAGAACTGTGTCCAATGGCCCAGAACTACTGAGGCACCAAGGAGTGTCTGGCTCCAGAAGTTGCACTTCTAACCATTCAACCAAGCTGCCTCCACCAAGAAGCCGCTGAAGATGCTTGCTTCTGAGCAGGACTTTCCAAATGACCTCCAGACTCCAGCCACGCAGCCGTGTCCTCCACGCCTCTCAGGAGAGCTGAGTAGGTTTCCCTCTTCTTTGCAGGCCAAGCAGAGGGTGAAGCTCGGTGAACGGGGAGCCAAAAAGGAGGTGGCTTTGACAAAGCCAGACTCCCCCGCCGCGGACGGCGAGGCTGGCCGAAGGCCGCTCTGTTTATTAGCAGTGCGGACAAGGATCTGCTTTGCCGAGGAGTTTTACGACATACAAAGACTGTGCCTGTGGCTCACTTCTGAGAAAAGCAAATGCCAGGCGACAGGATATGAGCGAATAAAATGTGAGATCGGGTGGCGCGCACGTCCCAGCCCTGGTGGGTGTCATCACCGAGAAAAACCACCATGCTCTTCTCATGGTCTGGGTTTTGCTTCTTTTCCACTTCCCTTAGTGGGGTGTGTTCGTTAAGGTGCTTTAAAAATGCCAGAGTTTTCTCAGTAAAAACATGTAGAGGGAAATACAACTTCAACTGTTTTTTTTTTTTTTTTTAGCAATCTGGACTATGCAGATGGTGTGTGGGGGGAATACTTTTTAGGATGTTTTGGTTGCGTGAGCAGAAAAATAATAAAAATAAACAGATGTATTCAATTAAAAAATGTATTGATTTCCATAACTATAAAATCCAGTGTGAGTATGCACTTGAGGCTATGTATGAGCCAGTGACTCAACAGCGGAATCAAGGTGTTCATTTCTTTTTATTGTTCTGCTTTGCCTTCCAAGGGCTTAATGTCATTATAAGATAATGACACACAGTTTAAGATACTTGCTGGCAGCAACTCAGGCCAATGTCTTCTTGTTTACATCCCGGAGAGAGAGAGAAAATCTTTCTGCTATGAAACTGAAGTCCTTTGCCTGCTTATGACCAACTTTGGCATGAATCCATCCTTGAATTAACCACTGTTGCCACGTGAATTAGAAGAGACTGTTGGAAAAAAAAAAAGAAGAGACTGTTGACTCTACCAACAACTTCCTGTTGCTAGTGGCTTCAAATAGGTTTTATCAGGCAGCAGAATTCCATCTCCCTTCCTGTTGCTGTTCAGTCTTGAAGTTGTCTCTGACCCTTTGTGACCCCGTGGACACAGACAGTCAGGGAAGATACTGATGGACAGGGAAACCTGGCTTCCCTGTCCATCACTGTCTCCTGGAGCTTGCTCAAACTCACGTCCATTGAGTCAGTGATGCCATCCAACCATCTCATCCTCTGTCGTCCCCTCCTCCTGCCCTCAATCTTTCCCAGCATCAGGGTCTTTTCAAATGAGTCAGTTCTTCTCATCAGGTGGCCAAAATATTGGAGCTTCCGCTTCAGCCTTCTGTAGTGATTGGTTCAGGACTGGATGTGCAGTTGGTATCCAAACCAAGCTGGCGATGGATATCCTTGGCAATAGTGCTTGTTTCATGATGGATGAGGACTGGTCCAGTGGGTGGTGGACATGCAGCTACACCTTCCATTTCAGGAGGAGGCAAGTTCAAAATACAGCCATCCAGTCAGTGCTATTCAATTTTTTGGTCATTGAGAGAAATGTTAATACATGAGAAAATTGATTATGCTCTTTTAAACAAATTGAATTCCATTTACCTGCTGTTGCGTCAGGAAGCATTTAACAGGAGGCTTCCTGTGTGCTGTTTTGTATCTGTCAGGAATCCTTTGGTCCTTATTAAGTCCTGAATATTCAGGAATTAAGAGGAGAGGCATGCCTTTCCCGGGCTTGCGGAATCCAGGCATTTCTCATTGCAGTGACAAGTACCCTTTTCCTTTTTATGAACCATAAGGTAAAAAGTGATTGTTTGCAACTCTCTCTCTTTGATAGGGATCGTCTTATGTTTTGTATATCTGGAATTTTAATTTTTATCTTTGCTGAGAATAACCACCTTATAAGACAGTATATATGCTTACACCATGTTGATTAAAACACCTTTGCTTATCAGAGCTTGGGTCCCCGTGTCTTTCTCTCTCTCTCTCTCTTTCTGGCTAATTCCTTGGAGCGTGGAGGCCCGCTGAGCTCACTTTCTTGCCCGGGCTTCTAAGCCCTCTCGAGAAGGTGCCCTGTGCCTTCACCCACTCGAGAGGGTGCCTGGTGCCTACGTGCAGCAGCGCGAGCGCTAAGAACAGGGCTTTATTGGCTTTCTGCGTAAACCAGGGGATATCGGCCTCTCTCTCTCTCTTACTTTCTTATCGTCGACTCTGGACCACCAGGTTCCGGTCCATTAAAGGACCAACACTGTTGCTGCCCCTATTTTACCATAATAGATTCGAAGTTTTTCACTCATGTTCCACATAGCACCGAGACAGGTGATGTAAGCTGTCAGAGTCACTATTTACTGGTCAAAAAATTCAGGAGCAGCTGTAGATGTAGGGATGAGTCTTGTTTTTCCTCTTAACATTTTCCTGCTAAATTTCTCTGTAAAATTACAGACATACCAAAAATACCTACAAAAAATGCTCACATCACATTCACTACATAAATGCAAAGTTATGTAAAGTATATATTAATACATTTCTTCATCCCAATTACTCCAGAGTAATGTTAACACTTCAAGGTCTTCTATATTTTTTCCCCTATTTATGGACAAAGGGTACAGAGACATGTCTAGAATTGTTTTGGCTGGTCTTTTCTTTTTTTTTCCAATAATAAGTGAAATTATATCATGTACATTACTCTACAAATGTCCTTTCTCACTTAATAATACATCACTGATATATTTCCACATCAATAGCTGTGGATATAACTTATTTTTCAGTAGACAACTATGAATGCACTTCAAAATTTTACCAACTATTATATCATTCTGTTCTACTATTGATGGACATGGAAGACAATGCTAAATATTTCACTTTATTTAATCTGGCATGATAGTATTTTTTTCACTAAACTTGGAGAAGGCAATGGCAACCCACTCCAGTGCTCTTGCCTGGAGAATCCCAGGGACGGGGGAGCCTGGTGGGCTGCCGTCTATGGGGTCGCACAGAGTTGGACATGACTGAAGCGACTTGGCAGCAGCAGCAGCGTGGGGTATTGTACACTTAAAAAGGGGGAATCATATGGTGTGTGAATTATGTTTCAGTAAAGCAGTGATAAGATATGTATATGTGTGTCTGTATTTTAAGTCAATGTGTCCATCCTCAGAACCTGATCCTGTGCTTAGAACATAGTATCAGCTAAAAATATATATATATTTATTCAATTAATTTCCCTTTGTGACATAAATCCACTGAAATCAATCCTTTTGTAGTTCTATGTCATAAATTAAAATAATATAGTTTAATCATAAAAACATCTGTGCCTTAATCGCTTTCCCTAAAGAGGTTAAATTTATGATTGAAAAGTAAGATTGACTATGAAATGATGCGAAACTAATGAACATAAAGTATGTATCTTAAAGGATCAAGCCAGGGAGAAAACCTCATGTAAAATGTTCTTTTATTACATAGAAGCCAAGGACAACTTAAGCTAAGATTCAAAGAGAAGCTGATTTCATATCCCCTCCACCGGCCCAAACTTCCCTCTGTAACACAGATTTAGAACATTAACCAAAGTCGTGAGTGATTCATGAGGGAGTTCATTCCAAGGCGTTTACAAAGCTTCAAATTCCTAACACCATTTTTATCAGTCAGGGCCTGTCAGAAAATCCACTTACGCGAGGTGGTGGAGGTGACTGTAATGAATGACTGGGTGAGCATCGAGGCTGATTTACGGGCGCCAGCCGGCGGGCGAGGTAGCTGAGGCTGGAATCCGGGGTGCAGAGGCCGTGGAGGGGGTGCCCGCCCCTAACGTGAAGCAGCTTCTGCAGAGGAGCCCGCCTCGCCCGGCCCTGCGCGGGGCAGTCCCGAGGGCGCACGCCAGCTTGTCCGCCTGCGTTTCCACCGCGCTGTCATCCCCCGGCCAGGACCGCCTGCAGACACAGAGGACCCAGTCATCCCGCCCACGCAGGTCAACCCTGCCGCTCCCAGCGGGGCGGAAAAAGCGAGTGGGCAACGCCCGCACGATCCTCTGACATGCAGATCGCCTCTTACGTTCAGGAATTATGGATAAAAAGTGGAAATAATAATTAAAAATAAATCAGGTACAAACTTATACACATGGACTAGAGTAGTTTGCCAAGGTGTTTTCCAGCATGAGTTCCCTTCTTTTCTATTAAACCTTTTACTTCATTTTGGAGTATAGCCGCTTAACAACGTGTGATAGTCAGGTGGACGGCCAAGGGCCTCAGCCATGCGCGTACACCTGTCATTTCCCCCAGACGCCCCTCCCACCGAAGCGGGCTCTCCTTTCTTAATGCTTTAACTTTACCATCAACATTTGCAATGAGAATGAAGTAGAAAGATGATAAACCCTTCCGTATAGGATCGTGTCTTCGCTCTGCAGGGATTAGTTCAGAGCTGATCTGCTTCAGGAACTTCCTTGTCATCGGCATCATTTATGTCCAGAGGGGCTAGAACACAGGTCATTCCAGAAAATAGCTCCTTCGGAGCTTGTGCAATGAGTGGTGTTGTATGATTCACATGTTTTCTCAGCAAAACATGTGTTGGGTAACCGCCCTGTGACAGAACTTGTACCAGACACTGGGAAAAATACAAAGAGGAATTAGACACAGCGCGCTCGGAGCCAGGGCTGCCGTGACGGCTCAGCGGTGAGGAATCCGCCTGCCAGTGCAGGAGACCCCGGAGACACGGGTTCGATCCCTGGGTAGGGAAAATCCCCTGGAGAAGGAAATGGCAACCCGCTCCCGTATTCTTGTCTGGGAAATCCCATGGACAGAGGAGCCTGAAACATGGGGTTTCAACAAGCTGGATACCACTTACTGACTAAACAACAGCTCCAGAAGCACACCATCTCTGAAGAGACAGGCAGGCAAGCACACGACTGTGGTTCAGCGCGTGAACTGGCTCTTGGAGTCACTAACGGTTGTTCGAGTGTAGGGTTTATGTGCTTATGTTTCAGATCTGGTTCCGCCTACTACCTTTGTGTTCTTAAGCAAGTTACTTAACTTGACATGTATAATAATAATAATCGTGGCAGATTATAGCTTATCAAAAATGGTCATAATGCTCATCCCACATGCAACATGACTTTGTCTTCCCCTCCCTCATTAGGGGTAGAATTAAGTTTTCTACCCCCTTGAATCTGAGCATGTCCTGGGATTGCATCAAGCAACAGAATACGGTGGGAGGTGGTAAAGAACCTGCTTGCCAATGCAGGAGACCTAAGAGGCGCGGGGTTGATCCCTGGGTCGGGGAGATCTCCTGGAGGAGGGCACGGCAACCCACTCCAGAGCCTGGAGAATCGCATGGACAGGGGAGCCTGGCGGCCTATAGTCCATGGGGTCACAAAGACTCAGACACGACTGAGCGGCTCACATACACACACACCCCATGTACAAACCAGCAGGCTTTCCATTTCTGTTCCTTCTTTCTAATTTCAGTGAGCGCCATGCCATTCCATTGTAGTTGCACACAGATAAGACTGCGACTCCTTAAAGTCGGTTCTCAGGTAGAGCTGCTCCCTTTTGGGGTATGGAGTCTGACATGTGAGTGTCTCACTCACTAATGTTGTGACGGGGGCGAATCAGTTCATTTGGGGTGTGGAGTCTGACAAATATGAGTGTCTCACTCACTAGTATTGTGACAGGGGCTAATCAGTGCATCACTGCGGTCTCCAGTTTGCACATGAAGGTTGGAAGATGATCCTAAGTAAGAAGCGATCCTCAATGGGCCCATCTGAAGTCATATTCGAGGGTAGAACTTCTGTATCCTGCGTAAATCTCAGGATTAATTTGGCTCAATCTCAACTAAATGTGGCAGTGAAAAGAAGCGATCGGTTTTAAAAATCATTGCTGAAATAAATTAGTGCATGCCATTATCTCTTAGGGGAATTTAGTCAATAATGCAGGGGAAAATATTTTTAAATGTTCTTTTGTCTTCCCTTCTATTCTCCCATCTTATAGTTGCTCTAAAAGGAATCTCTCTCTCTCTTTCTCTTTCTGCCATTTTGCCAGATTTCGTTTTCTTTCATGTGTGTCTGTCAGCTCTTATCCGTAGATTGCCTTAGCTTCACTGGTATTTTATTTAGAGTTTGATTCTCTGCCTTCCCTATTCCTCGAATTCTCAACAGACATGGAGAGCCTGAAGAATGACTCTCTTCCCCTTCCTTCCACGCCTCCAGTCCTATCTCCTTTTCTTATTTTCCTAATCATGCTTTTAGAAAAAATTTAAAAAAGAATCAAATTGCTTAGGATAGAGTGTACTACTCACTGAGCAGGGGAGGGTGAGGTTGATCAGCTCATACAAAACCTTGTATGTACGGGCTCAGCCAGTTTACTCGCTCAGCCGTGCTGCCATGAACCGCAGCACACCAGGCCTCCCTGTCCATCACCAACTCCCGGAGTTTACTCAAACTCATGTCCATTGAATTGGTGATGCCATCCAGCCATCTCATCCTCTGTCATCCCCTTCTCTTCCCACCTTCAATCTTTCCCAGCATCAGAGTCTTTTCAAATGAGTCAGCTCTTCGCATCAGGTGGCCAAAGTATTGGAGTTTCAGCTTCGGCATCCGTCCTTCCAGTGAACACCCAGGACTTACCTCCTTTAGGATAGACTGGTTGGATCTCCTTGCAGTCCAAGGGACTCTCGAGAGTCTTCTCCAACACTGCAGTTCAAAAGCATCAGTTCTTCGTGCTTAGCTTTCTTCACAGTCCAACTCTCACATCCATACATGACCACTGGAAAAACCATAGCCTTGACCAGACGGGCGTTTGTTGGCAAAGTAATGTCTCTGCTTTTTAATATGTATGGGGTAGAGGGAGAAAAAGTTTGAGAGAATATATATCCCCCCAAAGAGGGCTCCCTAAACTTAAATCATCCGCATCCAGGGCAGCAACTCTCGACGTCCTCCTTTCCATCCCCGACTCCCTCCTTGGTCCGTGCTCAGCGCCACTTCCAGTCCTTGGCTTCTTTTCCTTTCCTCTGTATTTTAACCATCTTCCAGCTTCACCAGTTCTCTAACCTGGCCTCTTCCCAGAACCCTAGAATCTCTCTTCCCTCAACTTTCTATTTGCCTTTAAAGATATTGTTAGATCCAGGATCAAGATGTCCTGGTTTTTATTTTTTCAGTTTGTGTTAAGAACATAATTGAGAACAACCCTCTTAACAAATTTTTAGTATAGGTGCAATATTGTTACATACAAGCATGATGCTGTACACAGATCTCTAGAGCTTATTTATCTTGCATTACTAAAACTTTACAACCAGTAAACAACATTGCTCCATTTTTCCAGCCCCAGCCCCTGGCAACCACCATTCTTCTTTCTGCTTCTTTGAATTTGACTATTTAAAATAACTCATGTGAGTGGAAGCAAACTGAATGTCCGCTGACGGATGCATGGGCAGCACAATGTGTGTATGTAAATGGAGTCATTTGTTGTTGTTCAGTTGCTAAGTCATGTCCAACTCTTTGTGACCCCACGGCCTGCAGTAAGCCAGGTGCCTCTGTCCTCTTCTATCTCCCAGAGTTTTCTCAAATTCATGTCCTTTGAGTCAGTGATGCTATGTAACCATCTCATCCTCTGTCACCCCCTTCTCCTTTTGCCTTCAATCTTTCCCAGCATCAGGGTCTTTTCCAATAAGTCAGCTCTTTGCAACAAGTGGCCAAAGTATTGCAACAGTCCTTTCAGTGAAAATTCAGTTGATTTCCTTTAGGATTGACTGGTTGGATCTCCTTGCAGTCCAAGGGACTCTCAAGAGTCTTCTCCAACACCACAGTTCAAAAGCATCAATTCTTCGGCACCCAAAGAATATTCAAACTACTGTACAATTGGGCTCATTTCACATGCTAGCAAGGTTATGCTCAAAATCCTTCAAGCTAGGCTTCAGCAGGACATGAAATGGAATATTATTCAGCCATAAAAGGAAGTCTTACCATTTGCAACAATGTGAATGAATTTTGAGGACATAATGCTAAGTGAAATAAGACTGGATCCATTCTTACAGCTGGTCTTTGAGTATGGAAACCTCCCTAGGGGTTTTACTCATCTTTGTGATCATGGCATCTGGTCCCATCACTTCATGGCAGATAGATGGGGAAACAGTGGAAACTGTGACAGACTTTATTTTTTTATGCTCGAAAATCACTGCAGATGGTGACTGCAGCCATGAGATTAAAAGACGCTTGCTCCTTGGAAGAAAAGTTATGACCAACCTAGACAGCATATTAAAAAGTAGAGACATTACTTTGGCAACAAAGGTTCATCTAGTCAAAAGAAAAAAAGAAGAAGGAAAGAAAGTGAAAGTTGTATCCAACCCTTTGCGACCCCATGGACTGTAGCCTACTAGGCTCTTCTGTCCACGGGATTTTCCAGGCAAGAGTACTGGAGTGGGTTGCCATTTCCTTCTCCAGGGGATCTTCCCGACTCAGGGATTGAACCCACATCTCCTGATTTGTAGACAGATGCTTTTACCATCTGAGCCACCAGGAAAGTCAGTCAAAGACATGGTTTTTCCAGTAGTCATGTATGGATGTGAGAGTTGGACTACAAAGAAAGGTGAGCGCTAAAGAATCAATGTCTTGGAAGTGTAGCGTTGGAGAAGACTCTTAAAAAGTCCCTTGGACTGCAAGGAGATCCAACCAGTCCATTCTAAAGGATATTGGTCCAGAATATTCATTGGATGGACTGGTGCTGAAGCTGAAACTCCAATACTTTGGCCACCTGATGCGAAGAGCTGACTCATTTGAAATGACCCTGATGCTGGGAAAGATTGAAGGTGGGAGGAGAAGGGGACGACAGAGGATGAGATGGCTGGATGGCATCACCGACTCAATGGACATGGGTTTGAGCAAATTCCGGGAGTTGGTGATGGACGGGGGCCTGGCGTGCTGCGGTCCATGCGATTGCAGAGTCAGACACGACGGAGAGTGAACTGAACGGAACTGTGTTCCCAGTACATAGAAACACAATTTTGTTGAATGCATACATGACAGAATGAATGAATCTGACTTTTACTAAGATTTCTACCACCCATTTTCTACTGGATGCTACCTACTTGCTGACAGTCGCTGTGTCTGCCAGCAGACGGCTCCGCATTAAATGCGCACAGCGACGATTCCCGGTCGCTCACACGCGCCCGCGCGTGTGCGCGCTTCCCACCACCGCCGTCCCTCGTTTCGTCAGCCCATTCTCTCTTCCCCGCGTGCCGGTGAGAACGAGCTTTGCACGTAACCATTCGAGGTTATGCCTCGCAGTCCCCAGCTCCTCTCCCTGGAGTTTTCTGCTAACAGAAACCTTTTCCAAACCTCATTATTATGATTAAGTGCACACTTTTTCCTACCAAATGTCTAAAGTATATTTCGTGCCACATGGAACCATTTTTAAACCCAATGTTTTCTCAAGAAGCCCCGAGTCCCCTTCATGTTAGCAGTCTCCAGAGCTTGCTTTAGGAGAAATAAAGAAAAAGGAAAATCAACCAGTTTTAGGCTAAAAATAGTTACTTCTAGAAGCCTATCGATTTTAATACCAGGCTATTCCACCTCAAGAAATCTCACACATTTTTTTCTGAGCTCTCGATAACCTCCATTTCCCTAATAAACTGTAGCAGGACAGAGTCAGATGCCGTCTGGGCCGCCTGATGGCTTAGTGGTCAGTATCCTCCTGCTAACACAGGGGACATGGGTTCGATCCTCTGGGGAGGAACTGGAAACCCACTCCAGAAGTCCCGCGGACAGAGGCGCCTGGCGGGCCGCGGTCCGTGGGGCTGCAGAGGGACATGGCTCAGTGACCGGGCGGCAGCAAGACGCTTCCGCGGACAGGCGGACTATCCGCTCTGCGGACGTCAGGCTAACTGCGAGACTGGCTGTCTTTGGGTGAAAGATCGCTGATAGGCAATCAACTTCCCTGGGCCCATGTCAGAAGGGAGGAGTTCTGAGCTGATTCAAGATAGAAAAATGCGTTTAGCCAGTTTCCGTAGGAATTATTGTCAGAAGACTTTGAGCTTGGACCCTTTAAGTTATCTCACGTCTGATTCTCCAGTAGCAGGAACTGGTGTGACCAATAGAGGTGATTTGCTCCAGGAGCACCTTTCAGGAAGATCCTGTTTAAACAACAACAACAACAACAACAAGGGAAGAAGGAAGGAGCCAAGGAAAACTGTCAGAGTGTTAGTAAAGTCCAGTCTTGGCGTCGCCCACAGGGCCCGCAGAACATCAGAGAGACTCGGTAGTAAAGCCAAGGTCAGTCTTTCGTGCTTCTGTGTCAACCAGGAAGGTGTGTACCTTCCCGGACTGGACGACCTTCCTTGCCTGAGTTGGGGGCAGGCAGCTGTGAGCTGCCAATGAATACTCAGAGCAGCTGGGGAGGGGGACACAGGAAAAGAGAAACCAATGTGTTTGGACCACCTTCTGCCAGGCACCCCGCTAAGTGCTTTGCATATGTGGTCTTGTGTAATCTTCCTAAAGCTATTATATCCCCACTCTATAAATAGTTAGCTGAGGCTCACGTTTATTCAAGGCTCTGCAGTGGATGCTGTTGTTGTCCAGTGGCCAAGGCATGTCTGACTTTTCGAGACCCCATGGACTGCAGCACACCAGGCCTCCCTGTCCCTCACCATCTCCCAGAGTTTGCCCAAGTTCATGTCTCTTGAACCAGTGATACCATCCAACATCTCATCCTCTGTCGCCCTCTTGTCCTTCTGCCCTCAATCTTTCCCAGCATCAGGGTCGTGGACGTAGTGGGTGACCACATCCAGGGTTGTAGTGGATGACCATGACCCAAATTCATGTTCTGTTATCTTCGACTGGGTTCAAAGCCATTTGTGTAAGAAATAGAGTCAATATATTGAGAATATGTTCCCAACATATCATGAAATGTACAACATTAATTGAAAATCTAAAATCTGTAAATAGCAAAACTTCTAGACTTTCTGTAATGTTGTTTTATTATTTTTTGACATTTAAAATTATCTATCTTTAAAATGAGAGCTATCACATGAATTTCAGAAACTAAGCCTTAATTCTGTATTTACTAAGTGCATGATCTTTGGCAAGTTACCTAACTATTGGCCGTCTGGGTTTCTTGATCTGTAAAATAAGACTTCTGATAATATCACCCTATTAAGGTCATTATGCAGCATTATTTATTATCTTATTTAGATACTATACATGTAAAGAACTTTGTAAACTAAATATCATGCTCTGAATGATAGTTTTACTGATAATGAAATTTTGTGTTCCTACAGCTTTGCAAATATTTTTTATATTTTAGTACTCATATTTATTCTGTCTAATTGCCCAAATTCTACTAACTTGATATATTGCTAGTCATTTACTATGTGGATTTAAGTGATTTGACTTAAGTCACCCAGGAAATATTGGCACCTAAGGATATGACATGGTTCTCTTTGACCTCAAAGCCTATGTGATTAATGTAATATTGCCTAGAAATGGAAATAACTGCTGTGTTTATCCAAAATCTCACAAGGAAAATTAAAAATGAAAGTCAACTTTGCAAGGATAGGGCATTAATGGCTTTAATCTAAAAGTGTCCATGTTCTCAGCTAAGGAAAGAAAATTGTGTATATGTGTGTGTGTGTATGTGTGTGCATTGAGTGTAGGAAAGAAAAGTGTATAAAAATAAGTTCTTCCATGGAGCAGATGACCAAGGAAGAAGGGACGAAGTGCAGTTCTCATTCTGGAATCACGTCTTCAGACAAATGTTCAATTCAGTTCAGTCGCTCAGTTGTGTCCGACTCTTTGCAACCACATGAACCGCAGCACGCCAGGCCTCCCTGTCCATCACCAACTCCCGGAGTCTACACAAACACACGTCCATCGAGTTGGTGATGCCATCCAACCATCTCATCCTCTGTCGTCCCCTTCTCCTCCTGCCCCCAATCCCTCCCAGCATCAGGGTCTTTTCAAATAAGTCAGCTCTTCGCATCGGGTGGCCAAAGTATTGGAGTTTCAGCTTCAACATCAGTCCTTCCAATGAACAGCTGTAGCTCAAGATTTAAGGAGCCTCCCCTTTGACAGATAAGAAGGTCTGCTGGCTTGTTCATGCCATAGCTGGTCCAGTCCTGTGCTCAGCTGGGCTGCATGGTTGCTGATGTGGAACCCCTTTGAAATAAGATTTGTTCCCCTTCAACTGTTATTCTATTATTCTTAGGAAATTTTTTCTCTCCTTGAAAGCCACAGCCTCGAGTTTTGCTTCAATAATACAGACCAACTTGGCAATGGAAGAAGGCAGACTGCTGCTACAGATTCAATAGGAAATGGTTATAAAAAAGGCTTCAGACCTTTGAGGAAACGGATCTTTCACTTTGGTCTGTTCTCCAAAGAGAAAGAAAATGCCATCTCCTCGGAACGGGGGACGTGAGATGTATTTTCCTTCTCTGGATTGTGTTTAGAAACCGTAAGGCAGACTGTCACACGCCAAACATCCAGTTACCAGAGCAGGGAGCCCAGGCCGACGTGGCAGGCTTCTGCCTTGCCACTCCTCTTCTTTACCATCTCCAACGTGACCCAGCTCCACCCTCTTTTCTCAAATGAGTGATAAAGTGAACAGTCACGGGGCAGTTTGAAATCACGTGCGATGAGAAGACCTCAGCATCTCACCTGGGATAAGCCTCTCCAAGGCGGAAACCTGGCCCGAACCATGAGGATACATTATTGTGCTCAGTCGCTCAGTTGTGTCCAAGTCTGCGATGCCATGGACCGTAGCCCGCCAGGCTCCTCCATCCGTGGGGTTCTGCAGGCAAGAATACTGGAGTGGATTGCCATTTCCTTCTCCCAGAGATCTTCCCAACCCAGGATCAAACCCGAGTCCTGTGTTTCTCGCATTGGCAGGCAGATTCTTCACTGCTGAGGCACCTGGGAAGCCCAGCCACTGGGTTAGGAGGCCTGAAAACCATAACCTTTTGCTTGAACCAGTGAAGTTGCTCAGTTGTGTCCGACTCTTTGCGACCCCATGGACTGTAGCCTACTGGGCTCCTCCATCCATGGAATTTTCCAGGCAAGAGTACTGGAGTGGGTTGCCATTTCCTTCTCCTGGGGATCTTCCCAACCCGGGGATCGAACCCAGGTCTCCTGCATTGTAGGCAGACGCTTTACCCTCTGAGCTACCAGGGAAGCCCTTTTGCTTAGGTTTGTCACGTTCAGTAGCTCTCCAGGGAGGGTTAGTGACGTAGTGTGGGTACACCTTGATATGGTACACCCACTTTTTCCAGACGTGAAAAGTGGAACTCAGTCGCTCAGTCTCGTCTGACTCTGTGGCGACCCCATGAGCTGTAGCCTGCCAGCTTCCTCAGTCCATGGAATTCCCGGGGCTTCCCTGGTGGCTCAGATGGTGAAGAATCTGCCCGCAGTGCAGGAAACCTGAATCTGATCCCTGGGTTAGGAGGATATCCTGGAGAGGGGAATGGCCACCCACCCTACTATTCTTGCCTGGAGAATCCCATGGGCTGAGGAACCGGGCAGGCTTCCGTGCATGGGGTCACAAAGAGTTGGGACACAACTGAGCGACTGACACTTTCACCTGGGCCTTCCCTGGTGGCTTAGACGGTAAAAAGTCTGCCTGCAGTGCGGAGACCCAGGTTCAGTCCCTGGGCCAGGAAGATCCCCTGGAGAAGGGCATGGCAACCCCACTCCAGTAGTCTTGCCTGGAGAATTTCCACGGACAGAGGCTACAGTCCATGGGTTCCCAAAGGGTCGGACGTGACTGAGCGACTAACATTTTTTAGATGAGGTAGCTTAATCCCAGATGGTTTAAAAAAGTTTCCCAAGAGCGCCTTTTCCAAATTTCTGACCCCGGTGACACCTAGGCCCAGGGTCCTTCCTCCGTCAGATCTGTCTCTTCCCCAGGCCGCCATTCTGGTCACGCCGATGACCCGTGGAAAGGGTCTCCAAGTCAGCTCTTTTCTGTGAGCTTTTCCCAGCTAAATGTCCCGTCAGTGGCTTACTGGGCTTGGTAGGCCCCCAGGGGATCCTTCTGTGGGGCTGGAGGTGTGGGTGAAGGTGCCTCCAGGGTGTGTGCGGTCAGCTCCTTGGATGCAGTCTTGAACAGGCTCTTTGGATAACAGCGGGTCTTCGGCCTCAGGAGCTTCCAAGCCAAGGAAGGAAAAGGCAAGAACGTCAGAATGAGCAGCTGCACAGAGTGGGTGCCGCGGGTGCCGATTGTTTATTAGGACTTCAATAGTTGTAAACTAATCTCAAACGGACACGGAGGCCAAGGCTAGTTCGAGGTGCGGGGACAGCCTGCTTTCACCCTAGCTTCCTGGAAATTTAGACCGTTTTCCAGTTTTAGCGCTCAGAAGTTTGGGCTGAATCTGGAGGTTACGGTTATTTTCAAAGCTTTAAACAGACCTGAGCTTGTTCTTGGGTCTTTTCCTGATCAAGTTAGTGTCATTTTATTTATGTCTCATATGCTTTATACATTTTTGCTTTAAATTCATTTTTCTACTCTCTCATCTTTTTTAAAAGGCAACTTGACTGGGGTATGATTTACATACAATAAATGCATCATTAAAGTGCAGTTTGACGAGATTTTAGAAATGTATACACCCATGTAGCCATCACCTCAGTTAAGACACAAGGTATTTTCACTCGCCCAGAAAGTTCTCTTATTTTCTTTTGCAGTCATTCCCTCCCTACCCAGGGGCACTCATTATAAAATTTCTATCACCATTTACTTTTCTCCTGTTCTCAAAGTTGATATGAATAGAATCATACATTATGAACTCTTAGGTCTATTTCTATTAGGCCCCTCCCCAACCATCCGCTCCCGGGGCAACCACAAGTCTGATCTCTGTGAGTATGACAGAACTTAATTCTAAGTTTATATAGTTTATTAAATGTTGAAATAATTTATACTTATTGGAAGTTACTAAAAATACTATATCCAGGTTCTCCTTATGTTAACATCTAGGAAATAAATGTATTTCTGCTAACCCATATATACACACATCTCTGTTCATGTCTGTACTGATTAATCTGTATATGCACATACACCCAAACATAAGTAGATATGCAGATTCTAAGGGGCACACACATTAGGAGAACCTTGAGATCATGTTGATATCTCTGATTCCAAGGTCTCACAGGGCTCATTCTAGCATCTCCTCTGTTAACTTGCAACTTGTTTTCTGACAGTGAGAAACCTGTCTCTCATCCTCAACAGTTTATTGACTAAACTGTTCAGTCTCAGTCTACATGTAAAGTTGTTTTGGAATGGTTATTCATATCCCTGTAAGAAACAAAAATTTCAGCTAGAGCACAGAGCACGGTTTCCACTGTATGCTGTTTACGTGCAGAATATAGTCAAAACAGTTTCTTTTTCTACAGGTGTGTCAAGAAGTGAGTCCTTCCAGACCCACGTCTTTACAAAGATATTTAGACCAGTTTATCTCTTCCCCTTCCCCTCCAGTTGGGTTATGTCATTCATCTATAATAAAGTTAAATTCACTTGTTGCAGTATACATTTAATCTTCCTTCCTCCCCACTGTCCTGGTTGAGTGTTTCCATTTTGCATATGGTAAAAATGACTCTTTAATGGTCTAGTTCTATGAGTTTTTAAAAGTGTGGAGAGTCACATGTCCACCACCACAGTAATATCATCTCAGTAGTTATGTCACACTAGTAGTTCATTGTTTTTTAGTAATATTCCATTGAAAAATATACACTGATTTATTTATCTATTTAGAGAAATTTATGTATCCATTTAGAAATGGTTATTTGGCATCACCAACTCAAAGGCCATGAGTCTGAGCAAACTCTGGGAGATGGTGCAGGACAGGGAAGCCTGGCGTGCTGCAGGCCATGGGGTCACAGTGAAGGACAGGGAAGCCTGGCGTGCTGCAGGCCATGGGGTCACAGTGAAGGACAGGGAAGCCTGGCGTGCTGCAGTCCATGGGGTCACAGTGAAGGACAGGGAAGCCTGGCGTGCTGCAGTCCATGGGGTCACAGTGAAGGACAGGGAAGCCTGGCGTGCTGCAGTCCATGGGGTCACAGAGCTGAACACAACTTAGTGACAGAACAACAGCAATTTAAACCTTTACTTGTTGCTGGACACCTGCTTTGTCTCCCCCAGGCTTGGCCCTTCTAGATCTAGTTGCAGTAAACATTCTGATACAAGCCTTTTTGTGGACACAAACCTTTGTTTATTTTGGTTAGATACCTAGAAGTGGAGTTGCCAGAACATAAGGAAAGAGGACGTCTACTTTAAAAAAAAAATCTACTAAAATTTTTCCAAAGTGCTTGTACAATTTTATATTAACTAGTGATGATGAATGAACATTCCAGTTCCTCCACATTATCATCATTTTGCTCTAGAGGATTTTAATCTTAGCCACTCTAAAATTAAAACGCTATGTCACATGGTTTTAGTTTGCGTGTCCTGCCGGCTAGCGATGTCGCACACACTTTGATGGCTGTTGGCCTGTACCCACCATCACACCTACAGAGTCACTTGTCATGTTGACACGTTGAGAAAATACACACAGGTTGTGGATACAGGATGTGGACATCGCTGGGAGTCCATGACTCTGCCTGTCACATGTGGTATGGATGTAGCAGAGTGTGCTAACGACGCCTTTGTTAAAGAGCATCTGGGTTGTTTCCTGTTTCTGACTATTATGTATAAAGCGTCTGTGAACATCCGGGTGCTGCTTTCTATATGCTCACGTTTTCATTTCTCTGGGGTAAATGAATAGGAGTGCAATTACTGGTTTTTTCTGACCCATTGGATATTGAAGAGTATGTTTAATTTTCATCTGTATGTTAGATCTTATGCTGGTTTACTCTGCTGTGGGCTGATGTAACTGTTCTGAGCACGTCAAGGCAGGCTAGGCCAAGCTTTGATGTTCAGTAGGTCAGGTGCATTCAATCCATTTTGGCTCAACAGTACTTTCAGCTTACTATTGTTGACAGGGATGCAACCCCGTCAGCTGGTGCTGGTGGTTAAGAGCCTGCCTGCCAGTGGAGGAGACGCAGGCTCGACCCCCGAGTCGGGAAGCTCCCCTGGAGGAGGGCACAGCAACGCACTCCTGTATTCCTGCCTGGAGGCTCCCGAGGGCAGAGGGGCCTGGTGGGCTGCAGTCCACAGCGTCGCAGAACCGGACATGACCACACTGAATGCACGTGCACATGGACCCCATCGTGTCGCAGAAGATCTGTATTTTGCTCTTTTATCTACATACCAAGTTCTGTACTTAAATGACCTTTATTTCATTCCTAAAAGTTGTCTGGTTCTTTTCCCCAAGCACATCTGCTCCTTGTTTGTCTGTGTACCCTTTACCCTGGGTTTCCCAGCTGGCCCTGGTGGTGAAGAACCTGCCTGCCACCGCAGGGGACATGAGGCGCGGGTTCCATCTGTGGATCGGGAAGCTCCCCTGGAGGAGGGCACAGCAACGCACTCCAGTATTCCTGCCTGGAGGCTCCCGAGGGCAGAGGGGCCTGGTGGGCTAGAGTGCACGGGGTCGCAGAGTCAGACCCCAGTGAAGCAACTAAACATGCACCTTTTACCCCAGCTGAACAGTTTACATCTAGCTGGTTCCTATCTGGGGTCTGACAGTTCTAAGATCTGAAGTCCTAAGGTGTCTAAACAGTTGCTGGTGGTGGCTTATTCTGTGTTTGGTGACCTTCGATTCTAAGCTCACAGATGGTTGATTTTAATCTGTGGGCACCCCAAGGTCTAAGTTAAGAATGCTCTCCTTCAGAGAAGATTCCTATTTGCTCTGGCCTGAAGGCTCCCAAGTGGGAGCCACTCTACCCCTCTCTCGCGGTCTTTGGTAAATGCAGATTCTAAGGTCCACCTTCCCTGTCCTCCTGTTCCAAAGCTAGTCTTCTGACTCATTGGCTACGCTGAATGCAAAGTATGGAATACACTGAAGATACATCCTTAAGGAAACCTCAGGGTTTACTGAGGTTTCCCTCAGTGAGCCATCATACCTTGGGGATAGAGACCTCGGGATTTCTTCTTCCATTTAGAAAGCACATTTTTACACAGGATTGACTGTTTTGTTTAGAACAGGCCATCAATAGTAGAAACTTATGCATTGTTCTTTTAAATTTTTTTTGTATATGCTCTTCCTGAATTGGCTTACTCAGGACTTCCCCGCCGGTCCAGCTGTTGAGACTCCAAGCTCCCGAAGCAGGTGGCATGGGTTTGATCGCTGGTCATCAAACTAAGATCCCGCATGCCACACAGCATGGCCAGAACCCCCAAAACCCTAAATTGGCTTTCTCCTCCCCTAAGTCCAGCTAACTCTAGCGATTCAACCCAATTGTTTCCAAATTCCTGCATTGCTGCTTTATTTGCATACTTATTCTTCTGTTCTGTTACTTCTTTAAAATGCCCAGTTACTTTTTTTCACTTTAGGTTATAAATAGACAAACTAGCTATGTACCAACTCTTACTTACTTTTCCCCTACCTATGTACACCTCAGCACAATGCCTGCCTCCTAATAAATGCTCGTTGAAAATGTTCTGTCTTCGATATTTTCTGTCAAAGTGGTTTGTGTAGAGTTGGAGATAATGTTTGTTTAGTGAAGAATTCGCTGGAGATAGAAAATGGGGAGTTGAGTTTTCTTAGCAAACATTCCAAATATGACTGTTGGCGGAAGGATTTCTGAGTGGCTTGAAGAATGGAGATAAGGGGTAGGAAGTTTAAATGTTAATTTTCTTTCAAAAGGCACGCACAGCTAAACAACCCCGGGTCATAAAGAGCTTTTTGTTTTCAAAACTGGCCTTTGCCCTGAAGCCAACCACTTGGCAGGGAATGACGTGAACGTGGCCATGATGCCCCCTAGTGGCCGTCCTCTGCCAGCGCAGAGGACGACGAGGTGGTCTTCAGCAAAGGGACAGGCTGGGATTCTGAAATGCAGATACTCTGTTCTTTAAGCCCAATTTATCCACTCAGAAATCTAAAAAGATTTCACTTTCTCCAGAAAACACTCGTAAGAGAACAAACTATGGCTGAATAAATAAAACCCATTCTCTTAAAAAATAATTAATACGTACCAGTTTCTTTTCCCCACTAAAATATTGACCTTTACTGCTTGACAGTCAGAAAACTGACTTATTCACGATCCCTGCTCCCAAAGAGCTCAGCGTATTGTGGGGATACAGACAGACAAACGAAAACTCTTACTCACTGAGACAAATTCAATGTGGGTTTGCACAAAATCCAAAAGAAGAGGTGAGCCAAAGATGGGGTAGAGAGGCGGTGACCCTTGGCTTACGTTTTGGAAGGTGGGCACACATGTTGGGTCTGGTAGGAGGACGGAATCCCAGGCAGCTGAGGCTGGGGTGAGGCCGACTCTGGTACTTCCCGGTGGCGCCTTGATCACAGGCTGCCTGTGGGGCTTTGGCCAAAAGAAGCCAGGACTGAGTGCAGGACTCCAACAGTGCAGGGACGCGGGCATCGCGTGCGGAATTCAAGTTTGCGTGTTGGAAACGACGGATCAGAGATAAATTTAACCTGGTGGGCGGTGGCAGTGGCGGTGGCGCTTTAGTCTGAGTCGTGTTTGACTCTCGCAACTGTAGCTGCAGCCCACCGGGCTCCTCTGACTGTGAGACTTCCCAGGCCGGCACACGGGTGTGCTTCCACCTCCTCCTCCAGGGATCTTCCCGACCCAGGGATGGGACCCGGTCTCCTGCACTGCAGGCGGCTTCTTTACTGACTGAGCCCAGGGAGGCCCAGGTGTACGTTACGTGGACTTCCACCCCAGTATCCTTGCCTGGGGAGGGACTGGATCAGAGAACATGATTTCTCCGGCTGCGCTGGGTCTCAGTTGAGCACACAGGCTCCTCTGTTGCTGTGGGCAGGCGACTCTCGAGTGCACCGAGTTGCTCCACGGCAGGGGTGTCTCACCTGAGTCTCAAGTCGAGCACGCAGGCTCCTCTGTCGTGGTGGGCAGGCGTCCCTCTGGTGGTGGACTCAGCTGCTCCACAGCAACGGAGATCTTAGCTCCCTGACCAGGGCTGGAACCCGAGTGCCCTGAACTGCAAGGGGACTTGGAGATTCTTAACCACCGGACCACCACATAAGTCCTTTTTTTTCATATTTATGTGAGGGGTTAGATTTTAAGTGAGAGATCTGGGCGCTGGCGTGGGGGAGAGACTGGAGGGGCAGTAGTGACTCAAGACTGTGGTTAACAGTCCAGGAGTAACCGTCCAGGTGTTGCAGTGGAGATGCAGGACCGGAGAGAAACTCCAGAGAGACTTCCGGATACATCTGAGCACAAGTGCTGGCCAACTGCGTAGGAGGTGAGAGGCACGGGAGGGAAAATATCACCTGTCTGCCTGGGTAAAATACTATGAACTAAGAGAAAAAATGTAAGGAGAGGAACGGATGGGAGCAGGGATTGAGTTTATTTGGAGACACGTTCAGCATGAGACATCTGCAATACATTGAGAGAGATTTTACTTGGCCTCTGGAAGCATGAGTCTGGAGCTCAAGAGAGAGAATTCTAGAATGATGCTATCTATTCAGGGAATTCCCCAGCCTTTGAGTGTGGCTGACTTGAACAGTCACATCTGCTAAACAGAAAAGAATGGAAGTGAGAGTGACGACTTGAGAGACCAGGTTACAGGAGGCACAGCGGTCTCCTGCTTGCCTCCTCTCTCGGTTCACTTCCTCCGGGGGAAGGCCGTCGCCACGCGATGAGGACACAGCTACGAAGACGGAGAGGAAGGCAAGCCTGGAGCCACCAGACAGCAAGGAGCTGCCGCCAACAGCCACACAAGCGAGACTGAGGAGGAGCTTCAGCCCCAGTCAAACCGAGATGCTGCAGCTCCGTTCAACGTCTCGGCTGCAAGCGCATGGAAGACCCTCGGGACAGGATCCTCGCGAGGGTGCCCGGAACCGCTGCTCCCAGACTGTGCCGTGGTAAGCAGGCACCATGGACGCTACTGGGCTCGGGGACAACATGTTCTGTGCAACAGGAAACCGGCACAGGCGGCCACGCGGGCGCGGGGAGAGCGCTGTTTCTGGCCCGCCGGTTTCTGCTCGGCTCCAACTGCCGCCACTGTCGATTTAAAACAAACGCACAGCGAGAGTGGCGGGGTGAGTTTTGTTTGGTGCGGTCACTGGAATGGCATGGTAATACGAAATGTTAACAGGAACAGTAACGTGAAATATAAAAAGGATGACCAGATAGTTCTTACGTCCAAACCTGAAGTAAAATTACAGAGTGATCAGCTCATTACTTTCCGTAGCAACTAGGAATTACTACCTTCAAAATACTCATTCTTTCAATGCTTATTTTTGGATTGCCTCCTATTTGACAGGTACCATGTTTGGTTCTACATTGATGAATAAAACAAGGTTTTCTGCAGAGAAAGAAATCTTGGTCTAGGCAGTATTCATTATATACATCTTACAAATTTACTATGGCTTTTGAAACTAAAGAAAAAATTTTCCAAAAAGTTAACTGTCTCATTAAGAATGCATATGCACAGAAATAGTAACTCAAAATTTCACAGGCTCATAAATACTTAGAAACTCTAAATTGCTAACTGGCTATTTCAGCTGATGTGATAACCTATCTCACCAACTGCCTGTGTACTTTCCCAAAGTACATTCTTACCACACAGACATTTTTAAAACAATGAACTATTTCATCCACTCTTGCACACCTACTCTTAGTAAAACACAGAACAAGTTGTAGTTTTTAAATATGGACGCTGAAAGCAATTTACACCAATCATACTGTTGAAGTGAAACAGAAGTCCTGAATTTTGTAACACCACGAGCACATCAGAAAACCTGGGGAGACCAACTGTGACTGAATGTGTGAAGCTGTCAGAGTTAATCTTCATCATCTCTTTGAAGAGGTATTATCTGAATTTCTTTGGCTATCCTTTCTGCTAATGTTTTACTGCTTGAAGCAATTACTCTTCGTGACATCAAATCAAATGGTCCACCTAAAATCAAATATGGAAAATGGTTATATCTTGTAAAAAATAATTCCTATAAAACAAGCATAGCAGTATGTACTGTGGTTGATCATAACATTTTATATTTTCATTATCTTGAAAAAAAGCTACACTGTGTCATAACCACAATGTTTAAGATTTGCTAATACATAAATGAGTTTCTCAGCATCTTTTAGAAATCCCAGTTTGGAAGGAAGTGGGGGGTCTGACACACGTCATCTTTATTTCATGTTTGGGACCTACTGACAGAAAAGCCGAGGCCAGGGATCTGCACGCTGCTCTCCTTCCCAGCTCCTTAATTCTTTGCTGCTTTTCTCCCAGACAGCTGGTGAATTATTTTAACCCAGGTTCACTCTTTACTTTTAAAAATTTCATCATCAGTGCAGAGAAAGTATGTAACTCCCCTAGGGCCAAGGCAGAAAGGGATGGTGGAGGAGGCCCATACTCAGCTGCCACCACAGTCACCACTCAAAGAGCTTTTGGTACAACCTCAGATCTGGTGCCCTTCTAGACTTTCTCTATAGCCTCTCTAGAGTTCCTGGTACTCATAGTTGAAGAGGCTTGAAAGTGAGAGTGAAAGTCGCTTGTGACCTCATGGACTATACAGTCCCTGGAATTCTCCAGGCCAGACTACTGGAGTGGGTAGCCTTTCCCTTCTCCAGGGGATCTTCCCAACCCATGGATTGAACCCGGGTCTCCTGCATTGCAGGCGGATTCTTTACCAGCTGAGCCACCAGGGAAGCCCTGAAGAGGCTTAGCCATTTATTAATTGCACACTACCATTAACTTCTCATTTTTGCCTCAGTCTCCCAATATATGCCATTTTGATTCTGCAGGAAATTACATGGTTTGTGTTGCCTTGAAGAGCTGAAGTATAAACATTGAAAAAATATTAAAGGGAAACATTAAAAGATACATCTAAAAAAAAAGGCCATATTTGGAGGACAGTCCCATAGGTATGGAAAGAAATGTTTTCTGGTTCCGCGGTTTTACCTGTGACATCCAGGAGCACTCCGCCAGCTTCAGTCACAATGATGCCGGCACCTGCAACATCCCAGCAGTGAATCCCCATTTCATAATACGCGTCCGCAGCCCCAGCGGCCACCAGGCACATGTTCAGAGCTGCTGTTCCAACACCCCGGATCCTAACAGACAAGACGGGAAAAAATAATTCTTCAAGTAAGGCATTCCTCCTTAGCTTCAGTTTCAAGTGTGGACTGAGAACACTTGAGCCAATCTACCGAATGTTAAAAAAAAAAAAGGTGGCACTGAATTTTAAAATCAAAATACGTAAAACCTAATTATCATGATACACTATATAAATGACAGAATGAATCCTAACAAACCAATCAGGTGTAAGGTAAACATTAAAACGATGATACTTTGGGAAGAAAAACACTGAAGACAATGCTGTAATTCTGCTGCCACAGCACGCATGCCTCGTCACTGTGGTCTGAACCCGGGGACGACAGCCCCACGACACAAGGAGTCTGTCGGAGCTTCGTGCGAGGGCGCCCCTGGTCGCCGCAGTGGCGCGGGCATCGGCACGCGTGGCCAGGAGGTGGCAGCCCTGCCAGGCTCTGCCGACACCGGGGCCTTCTCACTGAACCTTGTCCTTGGAAATACACCAAGTCAGGGTGAGTACAGACATCATTTTATCAGCCACTGTAATAATAACTGATTCAGGAAAGAATCATCAATAAATGCTAAAATGATTGATATTTACACATTGAAGTATCTCCCTATAAGATACATGATAATTACAATGGGAAAGATGGCAAGATCACTACTAAGGTATCCAAGTTAGCATCCAGGAATGGGACAAATGGCGTCCCTGGTGGCTCAGCTGGAAAAGAATCCGCCTGCAATGCGACCTGGGCTCAGTCCCTGGGTCGGGGGATCCCCTGGAGGGGGGCATGCCACCCGCTGCAGCGTTCTTGCCTGGAGACTCCCACGGACAGAGGAGCCTGGCGGGCTGCAGTCCCTGGGGCCACACAGCGTTGGATCCACACATATGCACACGATGGAACAAAGGTGCCCTGTGTCTCCTGACAGAATGCACTGAGGAGGAGGACATAACAGTACTTCTGTTGCATTCCTGACAAAAATGCATAGCCCAAATCTAATCAAGGAAATCCAACAAACTCAAATCAAAACACTTGCTGTAAAGCAACCGCCCTACATTCTTTAAAAATGTCACAGTCATAAAAGATAAAAGGCTAAGCAACTGTTCCAGATTAAAAGGCATTGATGAGGGCTTCCCTGGTGGCTCAATGGTAAAGAATCTGCCTGCCAATGCAGGGATACATGTTCGATCCTTGGTCCGGGAAGACCCCACGTGCCAAGGAGCAACTAAGCCCAAGCACCACAACTCCTGAGCCAGGGCTCTGGAGCCTGGGAGCGGCAACTTCTGCGCCTGTGCGGGGGCTGTGCTCCCAGACCAGATGAGCCCCCACAAGGAGGAGCCCCAGCCGCCGCAGCTCAAGAAAGCCCGTGGGCCACAACAAAAATATTACTCAGCCATTAAAAAGAATTCATTTGAATCAGTTCTAATGAGATGGATGAAACTGGGGCCCATTATACAGAGTGAAGTAAGCCAGAAAGATAAAGACCATTACAGTATACTAACGCATATATATGGAATTTAGAAAGATGGTAATGATAACCCTATATGCAAAAAGAGACATAGATGTATAGAACAGACTTTTGGACTCTGTGGGAGAAGGCAAGGGTGGGATGTTTCAAGAGAATAGCATCGAGACATGTATATTATCTATAGTGAAACAGATCACCAGCCCAGGTTGGATGCATGAGACAAGTGCTCGGGCCTGGTGCACTGGGAAGACCCAGAGGGATCGGGTGGAGAAGGAGGTGGGAAGGGGGATCGAGATGGGGAATACACGTAACTCCATGGCTGATTCATGTCAATGTATGACAAAACCACTACAATATTGTAAAGTAATTAGCCTCCAACTAATAAAAATTAAAAAGAAAAAAAGAAAAAAAAACAAAAAACAAAACCCACCAAACAAACAAACAAAAAAGACCCAGTACAGCCAAATTATATAAATCTTAAAAAAAAAAAGGCTTGACAAGAATAACACTTAGAGTGCAGCATGTGATTCTGGCTTGGACCTTGGATTAAAATTCTTTCAAAATTTAATTGTCACTATATTAGACAATGTATCAAAGCTAATTTCCTGATTTTTATGACTGTGTTGTGGTTATCTTAGAGTATGTCCCTTTTATCACAGATATACACACTGAAGTATTTAAGAAAAAGGAGTTGCCATGTCTGTAAATTAACTACTTTCAAGTGGTTTTTACTCAAACTTCTTCTTTTAATTGTTTGAAAGTGAAAGTGAAGTTGCTCAGTTGTGTCTGATTCTTTGTGACCCCATGGACTGTAGCCCACCAGGTTCCTCCGTCCATGGGATTTTCTGGGCAAGAATACTGGAGTGGATTGCCATTTTCTTCTCTAGGGGATCCTCCCAACCCAGGGATTGAACCCAGGTCTGCCGCATTGCAGGCAGATGCTTTACCCTCTAAGCCACCAGGCAAGTCCTATGAAGATAAAGCAGTCAGGTCTGTTCACTGAGACCCTTCATTATTTTTTAAGAAAAAAGAGGATTTCACATGTCAGTGGTATTGTATGACACATGGAATCTAATTTTAAAAAACTGAGACAAATGAATTTATTCACAAAACAGAAACAGATACTGAAAGCAAGCTTACGATTCACAGGGGAAACATGGGGGAGGGACCCATCAGGGCTTGAGATGAACACACACACACTATTACATGTAAGACAGACAACCAACAAGGGTCTGTCCAGCACAGCAAACTCCACACAATATTCTGGGACAACCCATGTGAGAAAGGAATCTAAAAAAGAATGAATATGAATGTACATAACTGAATCACTTTGCTATACACCTGAAACAAACACAACACTGTAAATCAACTATACTCCAATAAAATTAAAATTAAAAAATAATGTGATATCTGTTTTGTATCTAAAAAATAAATATAAACTAGTACTGTGCCTAGTACATCCTTCATGCCAAAGCAATTTAACAACAAAAAAGGACCAGAATTACATGATGCCCTTGATTTTAAATACATTTTACTGCCTACAATTTTACTATATATCAAAATTAAGAACTAGCAATTCCGAAAATGTCCATAGATATATAAACCCAAATTAAAATTATGGCTTTTTTCAGTTTATCAAGAATGGTGTACTTTCCTCCTTTCTCAGGGGATATGTGATAGTTCATACCTCACATCACAGAAAGAAAACACCAAGATCTTCCACAAATCATCTCTTGGCATTCTATTCAGACATTGAACCCTGGGCTGGAAGACCAACGCTAGATGCAATGCTTCTATCTACTTCTGATGTATCTCAATAGCTCTCTGGCAAGAGGTCTTTTGATCAGTAAGTATATTTTTTTATGGGTAAGTATTACTAAAGACAGTACTTAATCACCAAACAATTGAGGCTGTGGCCTAGATTTTGCCAATGTGTTCTGTCTGAATCCCATGTTAGTCTGATACTCCTTTTCAGTTAGGATGGTACAGAGCTAAAAAGAACCTATCTATCTTCAGAATCACAAAGATTTGAGTTTGCTTCCCTGCTCAGCTGCTTAAAAGCTGTAATTTTGAAAAATTTTCTTCAAATCTTCTTCAAATTTTAGTCTTCTTTTCATCGAAATGGGGATACCAACTTGGCTACAGCTGCAATGATCAGAAACAACAGAAGCAAGGCACCCCATGGAGGGCCTAGCAGATTAAAGGGTCTCAAAAGAGGGGCCAAGTCATGATCAAATCATCCCCTAAAGCAACACACAAGAAACATCATTGAAGTAAACAAATATAGTGCATTTCATTAAATGAATCCCCCCCAAAAAGGAAATGGGATCCATAATGATTTACTTTGCCTCATAAATGTCATTTACAATTAATATACAATTACACTTCAACTTAAAATAAAGGGGATGGTGAGCTTCCCTGGTTATCTAGTGGTAAAGAATCCACCTGCCAATACAGGGGATGTGGGTTCAATCCCTGGTCTGGGAAGACCCCACACTCCATGGAGCAACTAAGCCTGGACACCACAACTACTGACCCATGTTCCAGAGTCCGTGAGCCACACTCCTGAAGCCCGGGTGCTCCAGAGCCCGTGAGCCACAACTCCTGAGCCCGGGTGCTCCAGAGCCCGTGAGCCACACTCCTGAAGCCCGGGTGCTCCAGAGCCCGTGAGCCACACTCCTGAAGCCCGGGTGCTCCAGAGCCCGTGAGCCACAGCTCCTGAGCCCAAGTGCCCTAGAGCCTGTGGCCCACGGTGGAGAGCAGCCCCCACTCGCCACAACTAGAGAACACCTGAGCATGGCAACAAAGACCCAGCACAGCCAGAAATAAATGTCTTTAAAAAGTAAAAGAAATGAAAAATCCTGAGAAATGAAAGAGAAAATGACATGCCAATCCTTGTCTCCTACACCTAACAGGGATTCCTAACAGAAATTACACAGAAGAGAACTAACGGAAGAAGAAACTCTGAAACCAGGAACCCAGATCACAAAGTAAACAGAAATGGAAAAAAGTAGACACAGCCGCATGTAACTACAGTGAAACATCAAACATCATTAATAATAGTGTTTGGATTTTTTCTGGCTGATAAACTTTCTCTGCAAAAGGAAAAGCAAGCACAGAAGTGAACGAAATAAAAGAAGTAAAAAATAATATAAGAGATAATAGAACTCAGAAATGAAGAGGAATAAAAAAAGACAAAACTTTATCAGAAATTAAGATTGAATCACAAGGTACCCTTAAAGAGAAGAGATGCAAATGAAAACTTGAAAAAGGGCAGCAAGAAAAAAAACAATAAAAGAAAGTAAAAGGGGCCACAGAGAAAGTAACAGAAGAGAAGATACAAAGGAGGTTGAATGTTACTGCTGGTGTCTTTGAAGAAGAAAATGAAAACAGCTTAAGTGAACTAGTATTTAAAATTCAAGAAAACTTGCTAGAAAAAAAGAAAAAGAGACATTAATCTATCAATTAAAGGGAGAAAACCATCCCACAACAAGCAACTCTAAGAATTCCAAGATATACCCTTATAAAAGTGTCAGCCATGAAAGATTAAAAGAAAAAAAAATTTCTCAGAGACTCCAAACAAAACATGAAATAATTCAAAAGCCAATAAAATCAGACTGGCATCAGATTTCTCAAAAACAACATACAAAGCAAAGCAACAGTGAAACATGATTTTTAAAGAAATATTCTTCATACTTTCTTTCACTAAGGATGTTCTATCCAGCCAAGCTGTCCTTGGAGTTTTAAGACCATAGGAAAACAGTTTGGAATATGCCAGAAATCATGGAATACCACGCACAGGTGCCCTTCCCAAGAAATCTACTAGAGGATGAGCTTCACCAATACAAAGGTGATAGGTGTTAAAGCAAAAAAAAGAGACCAGTCTTGAAAATTTCCTGAGCAGACCAAATCAGTTTAGCCATGAAAACAAAGGTTAATTTAGCACATTTTACAAAAGTAACTAGACCTGGATCATCTCTTGCTTATGCTTTTGAAAATCACAAGCAAACTTAAATTGTTTCTCAAGGTGGATATGAGTTAGCCACTAATCAATTCCCTATCATTTAAGAAAATTCTATTATAGTCAATCATTTTGAAGAATAACTAGTCACTGCCTTCTTACTGTATAAGCTGCTTTATAACAATACATGGCTGAGCCTCATCCCATGTTTTGGTCTGGGTGTTCCTGGTTTGCAAAGTGTCTTTTTGGTTTGTGCATAATAAAAATTGAATTCAGTAATTCAATGGTTTTACTTGTTATTTCTGAACTTTTGACAGCAAGAAAACTTCACAGGACAGTGACCATTTTATAAAGGAAAAACTAAGACCACAGGATGGGACTATGGGTGAAACAATATGTAGTAGTAATATGCCTGATAAATTAGAAAGAATGCAACTTAAAAAAAAAAACTAGATTGAGAGGGAGAGAAAAAGAGAAAAGCAGAGTAAAATCACTGAATGTCATACAGGCAACAGGCAGAAGCTAAGCAGTTCTGGAGTCTTTACAGAACTAACAGAACGGTTAAGTAAGAAAAGAGAATATTAAGGGCATTATAAAGAGTTTTAATATAAAAGAAACCCATGAGAATAAAATTGAATCTTTTATAAATAGAAAAAGAGAAGAAAAAAAAGAGGATACACTAAATAAGTACAGAGTACTTAATATAAAACATAACAATATACAAATCACAATACAATTACAACATAAGATAATACAAAATTGAGACCAAAAAAAATGGTCATATAAATAAATGAATAAGCCTAGCTTTTTTATTAAAAAGAAAAGATTTTCAAATTGATTATAGAGCAAAACTCCACTCTATGCTGTATTCAAAAGGTGCACTTAAAATGCACTGACTTCAAAAACACTAAAAATAAAGGTGGACAAAGATTAACCGGACAAATGGAAACAATTAGACTTCAACTCCAAACATCAAAGTACAAAATGTACTTTTTTCCGGTGTATATAGAAGTTCCACAAAAAGTGATCATATACTAGGCCCAAAGGGAACATAAAGCTCCATAAAATATATTTATTACAATGTAATAAAACTACAAATTAAAAAACAAAACTAAGAAAGCACAAAAAGCATTTCCCCATGGAAGTTTAAGAATACAACTCTTGGGTAAAAGTGGAAATACAAACAGAAGTTACAAATTTTGCAAAAAATAATTGCAATGAAAACACATCAAAATCTGTGGGATACATTTAAAGCAGCAATCAGATAAAAACTCATAGTCTAAATACTCACCTCAATAAAAATCAAAGCATAAAAATAAATTCTCTACTTAAAAAGGGAAAAAAAAACAAGAAATAACAAAATTAATGACAAGAAAGCACAATGATGAAAACAATAAAGCAGGGAGGATAAAGACAGCAGACCAGATTAATAATCAAAATCCTGGTTCTTTCTTTAAAAAAAAACACTGACAAGCGGCCAGGTAATTTAATCAAGATTTTTTAAAAAGAAGAACAAATAACATAAAATAAGAAATGATACGGGGGGAAGAAAACTACTGACACAGACAGGTCAGAAACGGACTGTAAGAGTCTACCTTGCCTACCTTGTGCAAATAACTTGAAAACTTAGAGAAAGTGGGTAACGCTCAGGCTTCGGAAATGTTCCAGGTTAAAGGCGGTGAAATAGACACGACAACCAAATGTAATGCTAACTCTAGACTGAATCTTGCCCTGGAGGAAAAAAATGCTATAAAAGACATAGATTAGTTGACAAAACTAAGTATGTGTGGATAGACAAAGTTATGAAGTCAATAGTTGTACTGTGGTTACAGAAGAGAATATCCCTATTCTTAAGAAATAACAAACTGAATTATGTAGGGGTAAAGAGCCACACACTAAGTAATTTATCATTAAATTGCTGAGGGGGAAAAAAGGAGAATATTTACACAAACACACACACATACACAGAGAAAGAGACAGAAAAGAAGGAACGAGAAAATGATAAAACAATGGGTACAATGTTAACAATAGCTGAATTGTTTCTTATAGGTTTTTAACTGCATACTGCTGTTTCTTATAGGTTTTTATTTCTGCAAATTTTTTAAAATTTCAAATTATTTTCAAATAAAGGTTTTAAAAATCACATTTTAGAATTACGGTACTGACTCCATGTCTATTAATTAAAAGTTCATTTCTAAATAAAAATTCATTCCTTAGAATGTCAAATTATCTATAGCATTAATATAATAGAATGTTCAACTTCAGGGGTAAAGTAAAAAGAGCTTACCCATGGATGGGAAGGCAAAGAAGCCTTTCCATATTAGAAAGAATAATTCTCACAGTCTCTGGTGTTCTGGAAGAGCCCAACTCTGTCACCAAGAGAGATTTGGTAACATCTAAAAGAAAAAGTTTCAAATAATTACTACAGTTTATAAATAAGAACCTGACAAAAAAATTTGACACTTGTAACTCAACAAATTGGACATTTTTATCCTTCTTCCTAGTTGAATCATATTTGTTTCTTTCTGAGGCTTTAAATATTTATGAATTCTTCTTCTCTTCTAGTCATTTTATCATCATTTTTATAATCATCAAAAGGCATCTAGCTTCTTAGCCTACCTCCCCAAAAGTGCAGAATATAACCAGTTTGCCTACATGCATGATACATTTAGCCACCAAATGCCTTACATATGTTTTTAAAAAGTAGAATTTAAAAATAATTTATATATAGATTTGAAATAAAACAAAAATTAAAATTAAATGGTACCACTGTTAAATGAAGAAGAACTAAAGAGACTCTTGATGAAAGTGAAAGAGAAGAGTGAAAAAGTTGGCTTAGAACTCAACATTCAAAAAAGGAAGATCATGGGATCTGGTCCCATCACTTCATGACAAATAGATGGGGAAACAATGGAAACTGTGAGACTTTATTTTTTTGGGCTCCAAAATCACTGTAGATGGTGACTGCAGCCATGAAATTAAAAGATGCTTGCTCCTTGGAAGAAAAGCCATGACAAACCTAGACAGCGTATCAAGGCTACGGTTTTTCCAGTAGTCATGTATGGATGTGAGAGTTGGACTGTAAAGAAAGCTGAGCACCTAAGAATTGATGCTTTTGAACTGTGGTGTTGGAGAAGACTCATGAGAGTCCCTTGGACTGCAAGGAGATCCAACCAGTCCATCCTAAAGGAAATTAGTCCTGAATATTCATTGGAAGGACCGATGTTAAAGCTGAAACTCCAATACTTTGACCACCTGATGCGAAGAACTGACTCATCTGAAAAGATTCTGATGCTGGGAAAGATTGAAGGCGGGAGGAGAAGGGGATAACAGAGGATGAGATGGTTGGATGGCTTCACCGACTCAGTGGACATGAGTTTGAGTAAGCTCCAGGAGTTGTGACGGACAGGGAGGCCTGGTTTGTTGCAGTCCATGGGGTCGCAAAGAGTTGGACATGACTGAGTGACTGAACTGACTGACTGACTGTTGGTAGAAATGTAAACAGGTGTAACCACTATGGAAAACAGTACAGAGGTTCCTCAGAAAACTAAAAATGGGGTTGCCATATGATCTAGGTGGACATATATCCACACAAAACTGTAACACGAAAAGATACATGCACTCCTACATTCACCGCAGCACTATGTACAACACCCACGATATGGAAGCAACCTAAATGTCCATCAACAGATGAATGGATAAAGAGGATGTGGTACATATATACAATGGAATATTACTCGACCACAAAATAATGCCATTTGCAGCTACATGGATGAACCTAGAGGTTATCATACTAAGAGAAGTGAGAAAGATAAAGACAAACACCATATGACATCACTTACGTGTGGAGTGTAAAACATGACACAGATGAACACCAATGAAACAGAAAGCGGCTCAGATACAGAGAACGGCCTTGGGGTGGCCCAAGGGGAGAAGAGGTGGGGCAGGGGAGGATTGGGAGTCTGGGATTGCGGAATGCAAGCTACCACATATAGAACAGATAAACAAGGCCCCGTACAGCACAGGGCACCACGCTCAAAATCCTGTGATCAACCACAATGGAAAAGAATATGGAAAAGAATACAAATGTGTACAATGGAACCACTCTGCTGTATAGCAGAAACTCACATACTATAAATCAACTATACTTCAATAAAATTAATCATCTGACCTCCACTTAGTAACCTGACAAATTATCCAGTGCTTCCCATTTTTCTCTTTGAAACACTGTGACGAAAGCTCAGGACACACTCAACCCTCCTGGTTCACAGGCTACTCTTGGGACACCTCACATTTCACCTGTGCCCACAGCTGAGATGTGCCCGCCAGCTTGTTCCGAGCCCTGCTTATTACTGTGAACTCTTCTAATGATCACATAACCTGTTTAAGTGAAAGAAATAACAGAGAAGGGGAAAGAGTTCTTTCTATGAAAGCTGCCACATTCCTTCAATTCTAAGATGCACATTTTTTTCACATGTTAACATCTCGAAAATTAGGATGTATCTTCTAATCTCTGGGGTCTTAGAGTTCAATAAAAAGAAAACAAATTCAAAATCTGCCCTCAAATTAAGAGCCTGAGGAGAAAAATTATAAAAGCGGAGGAGGATTCTAAAGTTTTTGCTGCACATAAAAGAATCTGAAAAAAAAAGAAAAGAAATGAACCTGCAAATGTAAACTGTAGAAAATGTTGGGATTGCTTTAGGGAAGATAAGTGCCTCCAAAACACAGTGAGCTGCCCTAGAGAAAGCAGACTTTAAAAGGCCAATCACTATGCTCATTACAAAAAGTTTTATGCCTCATTTAAAAAAAATTTATCCAAGTATAGTTGATTTACGATGCTGTGTTAGTTTCTGTTGCACAGCAAAGTGATTCAGTTATAGCTTTATATATAATATATATGCATCTAGGTATTCTTTTCCATATTCTTCTCCATTATGGTTTACCATGGGACCCTGAATATAGTTCCCTACGCTATACAGTAGAAAGGTGCTCTTTACCCATCCTTATATATAAGAGCTTTATGTCTCATTTTTAATGATTCCCAACTTGAAGGGCCTTTTCCCTTTCAATTTACTAATAACTAGTCCCAGTGGCATCAGAGCAGAGGAATTCTAGAAAGAATCTGAGACGCAGGGCTGAAGCAATGACCCAACAGCGCCCTGCGGTAGGAAGCGCGCTCGCTCCCCAGGGCCCCTGACAAAGCCCATCCTCGCATACACGCCCGTCTGCTCGCTGTACCTGCCTCCCCAGCTTCCACGGCCGCGTCCACAACTGTGGTCACGATGAGAAAGTACAGAGAAAACAGACACACTTACGAGTCAGGTCACACTTGGAGAACACCAAGGTTACCGTACGAGTGCGTGGTCTGAATCACACCAAACATGAGTGTGAACCCACCTTCTTGGCGTGAAACCTGCAGTTTCTGCCCATTACAAAAGGCACCTCTTCCTTTCCGGCCAGTGTACATCTTATCCTCCAGGCAACTGTACACAATTCCAAACTCCATCTGCGGAAGGAACAACGCAAGCTTTCTTTACCAAACCTGAGCATTTTTCTTCATTCAATCAATACTTTTCCTAAGAAAGCAGCAAGAATATCTGGTACGTTAATGTTTTTAAACAGCTAGACTGTGGGCTATTTGAAATGCTAATTTCCAGCTGAGCCGAGGAAGAGGTCATCAGGTCTGAACCCCGAGTCTCCTCCCGTCAGGTTCCAAACTCGAGGCGTATGTTTTGCCCTCTCTCCTTCCCGCCTCAGATGAAGGCAGATCTTCCCTGTTTTCTAAGGACTCTTTCCTCCTGTGTCACACTTCTCTGAAAGCCTGCTCCATCAACGGATCCCTGTCTCTTGGGCTGTGATTCTGGTACTTTCTCGCTAGAGTGACCCTCGCTCACCAGGCCTTCGTTACCTTCTCCTGTTCTCCTCACTGCCACAGAGTGGTCTAGACTTTGTGTCTCTCGCTCTCTTTCCACATCGCAATCTGGCTTCTGCTCTGATCATGCACCTCTTGAAACTCCCTGCAGAGAGGCCGTGAACGGACCCTCACGGACCGAGCGTCCTCTCTGAGGGTCTGGGGGCTGCGGGCCGCCAGCCGCCAACCCCGTACTCTGTGGTCCTGGTGCTGTCCTCCCGCTGCTCTCTCTTGGGGCCACTTTTTCTTCCGACTTTCCTCTCTGCCTAACCCCCAACAGTTGTATGTCTCAGCCGTTTTCACCCTTCCTTTTCTTCCAATTCCCTTTTAGCTCTCTTGATTCTTACAGGCTTTTTCTTTCCAGTCCACAAAGTCAACTACCCTTATAGGTGTGGCTCCCACCAACCCCATCAACACAGGTCAGGAGCTGTGCTTTGGAACCTAGGCTTGCAGAAACCTCAGCCACAGAGGTCACACTCCCTCGCAACCTGATCATGCATGCCTCAGTCCTTCCCCATGAGTCAATTTTATCTTGAAAACACTTCCTGATTTTGGCTATTTCCTCAGTTATTCTCACCACCTCCATCTCAGTTCAGAATTGCCCACCCCTCTGGTGTGGCCTTGAACGGTGCTGGAATTATCTGGCACTCTGCACTGAAAAACCTCTCCTGGTTTCCAACTACCTCGAAGCCACTAAGTGTTCCGGCACAGACAGACCACATGGCCTCATGGCCTGACCACAGCAAGCTCACCTCGCCAGTTCTGCTCCAACCATTTCCAGAGTTCCACTCACAACGAACATCTCACTGTCGCCCATACACATCCTGCTCACCCCTAGACTGTTCTTTCTGATTAAAATACTTTCCTTTTCTTCTTTACCTGGAAAATTCCCAATATAACCCAACTCACATGACCAAATTCTAAGACCCCTTCAATTTATTATGAAGATTTCCTCAAACCGCTGCTGACAGGATGCGTTACACCCTCTTCACGTTCTTACTTTTTATTTTTTCATAGTTCGACATCTAACTTTTGCACTGAACTGGGAATTCAACAGTCCAGAATGGATGATAAGAGAAATGCTCACTTATCTCCTCTTGAAGGTTCTCACTGATTAATACAATCCTGTGCCTAAGATTTCATTTGCACTAATTTATGTTTTTTTTTAATTTATGTTTTTATTTTCAGGGTTTTCTTAACTCTTTTGTGTACATGTTGATCAAATATATCACAAGCTCCTTGAAGACAGTTATGTAAGGTGTTATGTAATGTTAAATATCATTCATTTTTTTATTAATCAAATACTCAAACAGCATGGAAATGCAATAGGTGTAGAGTGTACGCTTACTGGGCTTTAGATATAGTAAGTATTTAGGTTCCTGAATATACTCAGTATTTTCTCATCACACTTGGCCCCTACCACTTCCTGGTCTTTCCCTTCACTAAATGTCTACTAAAGCATTCCTAGCTCAGTACCCAACTCTTCCATTAAACGTTTCATATCCTATATCAACTCCTATCATATTCACATATATAATGGTGATTAAATACTGAATCATATTTCAGTTACTTGTGCATATTTTTTCCTTGTAAAATCTTCTCAGAAGACACTACATTTTCTTCACTGGGAAAAAGTATCACAACAAGTTTAGCAGGTCTGTATTTTATTTCAAAATAATGGTACTACATATATTGAATAGAGACAACCTAAATTTATCATGGAGACTCATTTACTCTTTCTCAGAAAACGACAGCAAGGCATTTTACCAGCCATAAATTTAAACAACATACCTTTTTATTTACCACAAAGCCAATTGAAACAGCTACAAAAGGAAATCTTTAAAAAACAAAACAAAACACAAATTTACCAAGGTAGAACTTATTTTCAACAAACTGTTTTTCATGATATAACTGCTTACAATTTTTCTCCTATGAACAGTCTCATCCCTTCCCAGAACTGTGTGTATAGTATGCAACCCTCTGTATAAGTATGGGGCAGGGGCGGAGGAATACACAGATGCATACATGCAGAATGCTTCTATAGACACGAGACATCTCTGAAAGGATTCACGAGAAACTGATAACAACAGCTGCCTCCGGAAACAGATTCTGAGAAGCTGGGATTGGAAGTGGGAAGGCCACTTGGCACCGCATGCCTTTCTATACTTTTTGAATGCCAAGTTCCACGAATATAGCTTAAAGGTCAACAAAAATGGGATCATCCTATCCACTGTACTATAATCTTCTGTATGTTACCTCATATCATGAGCATATTTCTGCAGTAACATTCTATTATATATAGATCCTACCTCTTAGCTTTATGGCTTTAACAGTTCTATTCGTAAAGATACATACAGCCACATACGACAACTTCAAATATAACAACTATGTGTCATCCCACCAAACAGGGCTACTTATTGAAACTCTTAATTCCATCAGGCTTTCTTCTATATATCTGGATTTATATACTTAATTTGTATATATATATATATACTTTTTTTTCCCCCTACATATTCTTCTCAGCATATACTGAATTACATACTTACTTTGTGCCAGTCACTATATTTTTATATAAATGTACAACTCATTAAGTCCCATTAACAATTCTATGAGGCAGGTACCATCAATGTGCCCATTTTAGCAAAAGAAAAAAATAAAACTGAGGCTTAAAAAGATTAAGTTAACTTGCCCAAGGTCACAAGGTCACATGCTCTAAACCCATGTTCTTTCCAAAGTTTTTTCTCCTGGATTAAACACACTCTATAAATGAACACTCTAGTACTGACTTAGTCAGTTCCTTAATTGATTTCAAAGCAGCAATGTTGCTTGCATACATCTTTATGTGGTTTCAACAATGAGAAAAAGAATGGTGAACAGGGCACTTGACTGCACATGTCTATAACATTAATAGTTCATTACCTCATCCACAGCTGAGGAAAATTATGCATAACATATTTTACAACTACAGAATTCTCTAAAGTATATGTGGTTATGAAAACCATATTGAACAGTCCATTCAGTTAATACACGAACAATTACAATATTAAAATTTTTAAAACATACCCGTGTACAAAGTTAGTTGTTCCATCAATAGGGTCAATGATCCACGTAGGGTTGTCAGTTAAGACACTTTTTTCCCCAGCTGCCACAGACTCCTCACCAATGAAACTAAAAGCAAATATGACAAATTCTGAATCTTTACAGTTTTCAACAATTTTCAAACCTTTAGTCTACTATAAAACATAACAAAAGTCTACACAACTACACTTTTCTATTGTTTTTCCTGCAGACAGATGAAAGTGAGAAAATTTTATCTCCCCCAGAACAAGTCATGTGAAAGATGACAGAATTCAAAATTCTCAAATGTATTATTAAGATAAGAAAAGACACACACTGAAAAAGGCTTTTATTGCAGATGATAACTTACTAAGGAAATGTGGAGGTTTAAGTCTACCAATTCTCTCATAACCCTCTCTTCAAGAGGTAGAGCTTAATGTCCCTTGCCTTGAGTGTGAATCTGGACTTAGTGACTCGTTTCTAACCAAAAGAACAAAGTGTACGTGACAATGTGCAATTCTGAAGACTCTTTGACAAAATGACACTGAGGTTTCCATCTTATTCACTCTATTTCTCCACCTTCCCCTTCCCTCTGTTTTCTAGGTGAAGCTGCTCACCACACTAGGAGCCGCTCTGTGGAGGGGCCCACATGGTGAAGAAACTGAAGGAAGCTGCCAGCAGACAGGCCATGAGGAACTGAGGTCACCAAAACCATAAGCGAATGGATCCTTCAGCCCCGGCTGAGCCTTGAGGAGATCGACAGTTTGACTATAACTCGATGAGACCCTCGCCAGAACCACGCAGTCCAGCTACTCCCGTATTCCTGATCCTAGAAAACTCTATGTTATCTAGAGCTGCTAAGTTTTTAAAGAGTAACTTGCTATGCAGCGATAATACAGAGAACATGAAATAAGTTAAAGAGAAAGAAAATCACCCACCAAAATTACTGTATCGATATGCATTCCTAAAACATACTATACAGTAAATGTCAGGTGAACTCTGTAAATGGTGTCTGAATTCATTGGATTTCTTCTTTCCTTTCCTACTTTCTTTGTTATTTATGTCCTTTATTCAAAACTGAAAAGTCCTAATAATCATTACCATGAGTTTCTTTTATGTCTTTTTCTCTTAGCTATAAAAACCTTTTTACTGAGAGAAAGCATATGCAGATTTAAACAATTTTTTTTCTCCTCAGTGGCTAAAATACCAGGAAAGGCCAATGGCATGATGAAGAAGAACTGGCGAATGACAATGTTAAAACTTTTAAAACGATGACAATATTTCAGTTATATTTCTGTGGCCGTGGGAGAGACAGATTTTAGTATTTTCTCTCAAACTCAAAGCTACCAGTCCTTTAGCACCTAAAAATGTTTGCAATATAGAGAATAAAACTGAACTTTCAAATCTTCTCTATGACAGACATTTGTCACATTAACTTCCCAGCATCCAACACTCCTCTTTCTATAAAGGAATCCAAATATCCCCTGTTCACTGCTCCCGGGAAGTTTGAGCTTAGGGAAAAAATCCTAAGTTCAGCAAGTGATGTTTTTGCACATGATTTGTAACCTTGAGCTAATGGGGTAAGACATCCCAAGAGAGTAGCCAGGAGTGAGGCAGCTTCTAAACGATGGCGCCTAACCCTGACCCAGCCCTGACCAGCTCTGCCTTCCTCCCTGGTTGCTCAGTCCTACTCTCAGGGATTCTGACACCCACCAAATAAATTCCAGTTCAGCTTAAATTAAGGACAGTCAATTTCTGAGTCTAAAGTCAAAATTCTTGGACTCCAACCTAGATTTCATTTTTATCACATGAAACTGACATAAGCAATACCTGTGAGATGGATACTTTTCCTTTATGGATGAGATAAGCATTTTTTCAACTTTTTGGTCAGTGGCAGTTACCAAATCAGCCGGAGAACTTTTAACCATAACATTCATTTCATTCTTGAGAGCTTCACGAACCACCTAAAAAGATATTTTTTGGTAAGCAAATAAGAAAAGCATATAAGTCATTTTAAATCAAATTAAAAGATGAATAATAGAAATGATTTGAAACAATCAATCTGCCTGGAATGGTATTCTTAAATATTTCTTGCCACAACATATATAAAATAAACCCTTAGTGGTTATGACTTTCTATGTATAAAACCATAGACTCTTACAACCAATTTTAGATATACAACTGTTATTACAAAACATTTAATGACATAAAATGGAAGTATTCACCCATTAAGTAAATTGAAAACAAATCCAGATCAATAAAAATACATGTTTTGTTTAAGGAGGCAACCACATACTGCCCACATCCATCACATCATAGCTGAAATTTCAGTTCGTACCTCTCCAGCTTGTCCTGCTAGGGTTACTGCATAATCCATGCATTCCTGCCAAGGATCAGCCATCTTCTCAACAAATTCAAAACATACAAAGACAAAGCAGTTACAAATTGCTTAAAAAGTCTTAATTACAGAAGTTCGTTCACAAAAACATCTCAATTTGCAAAATACTTCCATTCAGGATTCACCCTCCTCCTGATTCTAGAATTCTTTTTTTTTTTCCTCAGTATTCATTCACAGGTCCATTAAGAAACATTTTTAACCTAGCCTCATTCACTTCTATTGTAGAAACAGTTTCATAACAAAAAGTATTCTATGAAAGTGTTTCTCAAAGGGCCCATACCATATCTACTTTAAAAAACAACAATCATCTGAGGAATGGAGAAGAAATGACACAAGAAATATTCTAAAAGATAGACGCATATTTGGGTTTAAGAATAAAGTAAAAATTCGAAAAAGAATACAGAGAACAGTCAGCCCTCAGTATCTGCAGTGTTGGCATCCATGGATTCAACTGACCATGGATGGAAATTAAAGAAGTTTTAAAGGGAAGGGGGAGAAAGCACTAATTGAGTATGGTGCTTTGTACATGTAAAATTATTTTTAAAGATACTGTAAAGATGAAGAACTTAAAGCTCAGTGAATATAACTAATTTGCCTAAGGTTTTGTAGACAGATGACACAACCAGAATTTGAACTCAATTCTGAATCGAAAGTCCACTGCTCTTTCTACTGTGACATTCTGAGGAAAGAAAATTCCAGGACTAAAAAAATGTATAAAGCTAAAAATGAATTGCCCCAGGTTTCAGAGAGGGCAAAAAATAAAACAGTTTTGTCTTCTGAACTGGCCAACTTTCCACTGACTTTTTACAGAGAAGACTAAAATAACTCACCACAGACTTAACCACACTCCAAAATCTGTACGTAGGACAGTGAAGCTTTGTAAGCTGTCAGACTCAGAAATGTGTGGCATCATTTATAAAGCAACCCTAATTGTTTAATCTTTACAGTTGAGAATAACTGACAGAGTTTCACCCTGGAGACTGGTCTGAAATCCCAATCATGGTGCTCACAGTATCGGAATGGGGATGAGAGGGGATGGGGGTGGGGGCAAAAGACAGATACTTTCAGCTGTTCTGCTAGCTGTTTCTTCTTAATATATATGTTATACGTGTGCGTGCTCAGTCATGTCTGACTCTTTGCAACCCCATGGATTGCAGCCCGCCAGGCTCCTCTGCCCATGGGGTTCTCCAGGCAAGAGTACTGGTGTGGGTTGCCATTTCCTTCTCCAGGGGATCTTCCCAACCCAGGGATCAATCCAGGGTCTGCTGCAACTCCTGTCTGGACTAGCGGATTCTTTTACCACTGAGCCACGTGAGAAACCTGTTTCTTAATATAAGCATTTAAATGATTTTAGAAGGAAGCCACTTTTTGAGTTACTCAGAGCAGTTTAAGAATTGTTTCTAAGATCTTCTTTCTTCTTTTCATTCTTACTCCTGTCCCCTTCTTCTAGGCTTCAACAGAACTGGATGTTCTCATGGTGAATCTGCTTTCTAGAGGGAAACTGTGCTTAAGCTACTCATATCTGCCCCTTCCCACAGCACTGATATGTGTAACTCCTACCAAATCTTCCAGGCTCATTTCAAAAGTTACCGTTTCTTCTGGGGATTTTTCACCCAGAGGCTGTACTTGTTCAATCAGTTGAGAGCTATGCATTGACTGTTTATTCAACGAGAAGCACCTAACAGGAGAACACTGACCTGGTCTTAGGTACCAGATATGATTTCCCTAAGAACACGATTCAACCAAGATTTGAAGGACTAACTCAACTGCAGGACTCCTGGTATGTGAAGAGGAACCAAAAGGCCTAAGGGCCAGCTCAGAGATTAAGAGGAACAGGAGGAGGGATGCGGCTGGGGGTCGTGCCATGGTGCTCACCCCTTAGAGGCATGACTTCGATGCGAGAGCCACGAGGCACCATTGCATGGGGGCTGCAGAACAAGGCCGACGGAGGGGGGAGGGAGGAACGGCCGGCAGGGAGACGCTCTGGGAGGGAAAGGTGAGGGCGCTCAGCAACAGAGTTCACTCGGACCATGAGGAAGGGGCGAGTTTAATGAGGCCCAGATTTCCCACCTGGGCAAATGGACGGATAACGGTGACATCGACCGAAACATGGAACGACAGAAGACAGGCAAATCTGAGGTCTGGGTAGGAGATGGGGAAATCAAGTTTAATTGGGAGAGCGTGAGGAGCCTTTGTGAAGCCAAAAGGAGAGGTCCACTGGGCCGCTGAACACACGGATCCCGACCTCCAAAGAGAAGCACGGCCTGCAGATGCAAACACGCAAGTTACGTGAGCAGGCAGCCACTGAGCGCCGCCTCTGACGGACACTCTGAGGAGGCCGCCCCGCCCGGAAGCCCTCCGGCCGCCGCCCGTCATTCCTGGCGCACTCGGGGGTCTTCCCCACACTGCTCAGCCGTGTGCGCGCCTTTGCCTTCCAACCAGTCTGACGACAAGCCCAAAGGCAGCACCGCCTTCGCCTGCTCGGAGACGAACCCCTGAGGCGCGGTGGACTGCTCTGCCCCGCTCGCCGCCTCCTGCCGCCCGTCCGCGGCGGCGCCAATCGCGGTCGGGGGCTGGCGGGGACCACCCGCCCCGGACACGGCCGGGCCTCTGGGCCTCCTCTGGGATCGGCGAGGCGAGAGCCAGTGGGTCACCCCGCACCCGCCGCTCAGAGGCCCCGCGGTGCGGAGGTCGTCCCGGGCTCTCAGCCGGGGCCTCCGCGCCGGGCGCCCCCGGCCGAGCCCACCCCCCGCCCCGGCCCGCGGGGCCGTGGGCGCCAGCCGCCCCCATGCCCGCCCAAGTGCAGCGGGGAGACCGGGCTCACCTCAAGGCCGCGGGCGCACCAGCCCGTCAGACCCTCGGCGCTTCCGCAGCGAGAGGGCAGCGGGAGGAGGGGAGCTGGAGCGTCCGCCCGACAGGAAGTCCCGTCCTGGGCGGGGCCTGCTCATGCCCCGCCCACACCGCGCACCCCTGCGCCCAGCCCCCAGCCCCCAGCCCCCAGCCGCAAGCTCTGCGGCTCAAAGCTACCGGAGGCGCCCCGCCCTGCCTAGGCCTGCGGGGTCTGGCACCTTCTCTTTCATCTGTGCTTCTTTCTCCTGTCCATACATTTGTCTGTAATTAAAAGAAAATTCCTCTCTATTTTGCCATCTCTCGCGTCTTTCATTCCTTCCCGTTTTCCTATTTCCATTTCTTTCTCCCTGTCTTTCATTCCATCCTGTGGATGTCTCTAGCTTTACAACTTTTGTTAAACCTATGCTGCGTGAAAGAGGAGAGTGAAAACATTGGCCTAAAACTCAACATTCAGAAAATGAAGATCACAGCATCTGGTCCCATCACGTCATGGGAAATAGATGGGGGAACAGTGGAAACGGTGAGAGACTTTATGCTTTTGGGCTCCAAAATCACTGCAGGTGACGACTACAGCTATGAAATTAAAAGACGCTTGATTCTTGGAAGAAAAGATATGACCAATCTAGACAGCATATTTAAAAGCAGAGACATCACTTTGCCGACAAAGGTCTGTCTAGTCAAAGCTATGGTTTTCCGAGTGGTCATGTATGGATGTGAGAGTTGGACTAGAAAGAAAGCTGAGCCCCGAAGAATTGATGCTTTTGAACTGTGGTGTTGGAGAAGACTTGTGAGAGTCCCTTGGACTGCAAGGAGATAACCAGTCAATCCTAAAGGAAATCAGTCCTGAATATTCATTAGAAGGACTGATGCTGAAGCTCCAATACATTGGCCACCTGATGCGAAGCACTGACTCACTGGAAAAGACCCTGATGCTGGGAAAGATTGAAGGTGGGAGGAGAAGGGGATGACAGAGGATGAGATGGTTGGATGGCATCACCAACTCAATGGACAGAAGTTTGAGTAAGCACTGGGAGTTGGTGATGGACAGGGAAGCCTGGCGTGCTGCAGTCCATGCGATCACAAAGAGTTGGACATGACTGAGTGACTGAACTGATGCTGTGTAAACCTACACTATATGTTTGCGTGTTGTAGGGGTTCATAAGGAGCCTCTTCCAAATGTTCCACTTTTGCAAGAGGATTATTTTGAGCTAAAGGCAACTGAGACCTGGTGAATGCAAGAGAAATTACTGTCCCTCCCTTAACTACCTAGAAGAATTTAAATTAGGGGGTTGTCTCAGAAAACAGTTTATTACTGGAGATATACTTTATCTAAAGGGCCCATCTAAATGGTAGGGCAAATATCTAATTACCAAACATCTGCTTTTCTTACCATTCTACTATCCTTGGAAGCTCCCAGGACCCATCCCATTCCTTAACTCAGGACGGTATATCAGTTCAGTTCAGTCGCTCTGTTGTGTCCAACTCTTTGCGACTGCATGAACCTCAGCACGCCAGGCCTCCCTGTCCATCACCAACTCCCGTTTACCCAAACTCATGTCCATTGAGTCGGTGATGCCATCCAACCATCTCATCCTCTGTCATCCCCTTCTCCTCTCACCTTCAATCTTTCCCAGAATTAGGGTCTTTTCAAATGAGTCAGTTCTTCACATCAGGTGGCCAAAGTACTGGAGTTTCGGCTTCAACATCAATCCTTCCAATGAACACCCAGGACTGATCTCCTTTAGGATGGTATATAGTCCTCATTTTGCTTTTCTGCCTCTGACCCTCTCCTGCATGTGGGGTCTCTGGCCCTCTTATGTTTGTGGAATTCTCGTAAGTATAAAATTAAATTTGATTTTCTTCTGCTACCTCTGTCTCATGTCATTTTAGGGCTTCCCTTGTGGCTCAGCTGGTAAAGAATTCGCCTGCAATGCAGGAGACCTGGGCTCGATCCCTGGGTTGGGAAGATCCCCTGGAGAAAGGAAAGGCTACCCACTCCAGTATTCTGACCTGGAGAATTCCATGGACTGTATAGTCCATGGGGTTGCAAAGAGCCAGACATGACTGAGCAACTTTCATTTTCATGTCAATTTAATTCTTAGTCCAGCCAGAAGAACTTAGGTTTCCTAGAGGCAAGTTTTCTTTCTTCTGAACAATATATTCTAGTTAACCCATGATTAATAGATAGTTGATAGATAGACAGATAGGTATTTGTTGGCCAGAACCAACCGCCCCTATTAAGAATTCTCTTGGTTACTTACCATTTACTGAGGACTTACCATGCTTCAAGCACTTGTGTTTTCACATGCATTATTTTACTTGAATGTTGCGACAGTACTGTGAGAAGATATAATCAGCTGCATCATATGGATGAGGAAACTGAGGCTCAGGGAGGTTATGTATCCTCAAGTCACACAGCAAGAGGAAAGTGTAGAAAACACTGACTCCAAAGTCCACACTCAGGGAATGTGGAGTGTTGGCATGATGAGGTTGCATCACATGAGGTGCAAGGACTAGTCTGTGGTCCTTAAAATGTTTCCTCTTCTTGAAATAACACGTCTGGCATGATACAGTCTTACCATTATAATGCAAATGGCAGTGCACAGATACCAGATGTCACAGCAGGATCAAGGAAGCAGGTTATTTGGCTTTTTGTATTTGCAGTGATTTCTTCTCTTAGCTTGAGCAGAAGATGGGATACTGTGACCAATGTATTGCAAATGAGAATTCTCAAAGGTGAATGACATGAAGCACGGGACCAATTCTCAAACCTCACAAAGAGCCAGAACTTTGTCTCCTTCGAAAGAATGATGCTGTATCTGATTTGACAACCTTGATTTGTCTAATAAAAGTTGCTTTTGTTTTCTTGATGAAAAAAATAACTTCAGAAATTAGATTTTTGGTTCTTCATTGTCAGTTATCTTAAAAGAATAATCTTGCCAACTATGTGATGACAAGTGTTGGGTTTTAACCAAATAAAATTTTCCAGGCATTTGCAAAAATGTCATGAGTCCTCTTTAAACCTCATTTAAATAAACATGGTCCCACTGCTTTGGCAAAGCTGCTAAAATCAGAGTACTGGAAGTGAAATAAGATGGATGGACTATCTCACTCCTTCAAATTAAAAACTATTTCAAGCTCCCTACCTCAAATGAGCCGAAAGTACAGCCTTTTTCTAGGGGCCTCAGCTGCTACTTTACAATTGTCAAGTAACTTGGAAATTTCTCAGTCCAAGGAAGCTGTTCTGCTTTCAGATGCCTGACCGAAAGTGAAATGAAGAGTCCTCTAGGGCACAGGGAGGTCTGGTGCTCAGATCTGGTTTTGGCGGCATTGCACACTGGCTCCCTGCTATCCACAAGGCTTTTGTCCAGTGCTGAGCAGTTCAGATGGCTGCGGAGAACTGGTGCCTGGTGCATTGCTCTTGGCTTCCCAAAGGGGAAGTTTTTAAAGTCACAGTCACGCCTGCAGGCTTCGTTCCGAACCCTCGATTGTGTACTGCTGTGCCAGAGTGCTTGGGTGTTGTGGAGGGCTCAGCTTCCACTGCCTCCGGACAGAATCTGCTGCCTGGCCTGGTGTCCAGGTCACCATTCCAGGTTTCCCTAATAAGGAGATCCCTCTTAGGGGCTGTTGATACCTTTTCCTACTAGCTGACTTCCACCCATGAGAACCTGGAGGAGAGGTGCGATCCAGTGCCGCTGACACTTGCTGAGACCTGAGTGTCTGTGGAGAGGTGCTGGGAAGGGCGGCCTTTGCCAAGCAGAGCACTCGTTGTCACCTGCCTGAGTGATGGGCGTCCAGCTGCACTCAATTTGTGTAGTCAAGAGTGACCGTCATCGTGATCCCTCCCCAGTCCTGGGTATCTTGCTAACTCTATTTAGTCTCCGGAGTGGGTTTCTTTTAAATGGAATCTCCTCTCTCTCTCTCTCTCTCTCTCACACACACACACACCCACACACACACAGAGAATCTGATTCGACATACCAAGATTTTCTTAATAATTAATTGTTTAGTGGACTTTGATTAAAAATGACAAGAATTTATAAACACACAATGGGGGAATCTTCAGGATACCTAACAAGGTTTTATGTTTTGACATAACATAGGCTGAAATTTCTGATAGAGTTTTTAGTTGCAAAAAAATATATATCATAGAATCATCTCTATTAAAGATTGGATTGAAACTTTTTTTAAACACGACTTACCCCTTTAACCTTGGATCTTTTGTCTAACCAATCATGGCTGTGTGAAATGTGTGAAAAGAAAATCAAGATGGAGCTGGTAGTCAGGATGCCATCAAGGAAGTGTGATTTATGTCTCAGCCCAAACACACCTTAATATCTTAACACAAGCACCCAGAACATCTACCCAGTGCTCCAGAAACTCAAGATATTATCGAGCCCTTAACCTAAAATGACTCACGACAGCCTGTCCCCTAAGGACAATTATTTCCTTTCTTTAATCAACGTCAGTCAAAATTCGAGAGCATCCTTGTAACTGTCACCTGTACAAGCTCCTGACTCTTTCTCCCCCGTGATACTCTTTCAGGTTTACCCGAATCTGTGTCTCTTGAACTGCAGTTATGAAAACCTCAAATAAAGCTCTTTGTTCTCTGTAGCCTTGATACTGATTATTGCTGGACAAGCTGTTGGTCTGAACTCAAGCAATTAGGTAGCCTGCTTTATGTCTCTCATTCTTAAAGAACAAGAATGAGCTTGAATAACTTCATCCCCATCTAAATTAGACAAACTTTCTCAGGTAAAATTTCAATATGATACATCTGTAAGATGAATGAAATACATTCCAAGTTCCATTCATATACATTTGTCTGCTTTTAAGTGCAAGATCAAACATGCAGAGTAACCATAATAATTACAGAGTTTACTGTATGTTAGGTGTTATTCTGAGGATCTTACTAATATTAACTCATTTACTCCTCACAAAAATACCATTAGGTATGTATTATCATTATCCCCACTTTCCACATCAATTTAGGCACAGAGACTAAGTAACTTGACCAATGTCACCCAGTTGGTGACAGAGCTGGAAATGAAGACCCAGGCACAACCTGGCCTCTGAGTATATGATATTGACTTTTACAGACATTAATGATTAATTAACTCAATGTTTTCTGAGCACTAACTTGATTAAAGGCATTGGTTAAAAACTACAAAGAATTCAAAGAATAATATGTGGTCTCCGCCTTCAAGAAACTCCTACTTTGGTGTTTGCCTCCAGTAGAAAGCAGCTGCTGTGGGTGGTTATTATTGTCAACCTGAATCCACCACCATCTGTGGTGTCAGTGACCCAGAGTTTCATGCCAGAATTACAGGCGTAGGAGTTGAGCAATATCTTAAACTTCAATTGAATCTCTTCCTTTTACAAATCTGAAAACTGAACTGCAGAGAAATGTCTTGTTTGAAGTCACAAGGTTAAGGATAAAGTACAACTAGAAAGGCAATTTCTTATCTCCCCATCAGTAAAATATGTTCATGAAAATGTGCAAAAGTCAAATGTATGCAAGCTTAATTATAATTTAATGCCCTAAGTTGAGATTTCTGTTTTAATGGAGTCAACAGTAAAGTGTTTCATGTAGGCAATTATCATTTTATAAAATGAATAATAACCATCCATCACCATGCCAAACCAGGGCTTTGATAAATCTTGGTATTCAAATACTGATTTGGTAAAATAAGAAAAAAAGAACTATGGTTGTCTTGTCAGTTGGCAAACTGAACAAAAGTTCCCTAATACTGTAATAAGATGGTGAATGACACTGATAGGAAAATGTTCAAAGTTTTAGCCTCCACATTAAGTTATCAGATTGGTATTTCAAAACAGTAGTAGGTACACAAGGGTCAAAAGTTTGAAGTGTGGTAAAATAATTATAGCAGCTCACACTTGAGGAGCATGTACCCTGTTCTAAGTACACTGTTCATAAGATCTCAATGAACTCCTATGACAATTTGATGGCATTTACACTATTATCTCCATTTTTTAGATGAGGAAATGGTACTACAGGGTGATTAAGTAATTTGCCTACAACTACAGGCCTGTGAAATGTGGGAAGCAGATTTATTTAGAGTGGTATTTCTCTTTCTTGATGCCCACACTCTCTTTGGAAAAAAGTGAAAACTGAAACTAGATACTAAAAATTGCCTTTGAAAAACTCAATGTTAGTATAAAAACAAGCATACTGTTCATTTGGGCCCTAGTTTGTGCTTCAACACTTTATCTGAATCAGCACATAGGAAATGTGCTAGACATTATGTATCAAAATAAATAGTTTGCATTACTATAGTCTACTGTTTATATTATACTGTTTATGCTATTATATAAACTTATTATAGTGTATTGTTTACATGTTATGTTTATAAAATGCATGTTCAAAGACTTATAGCAAAATAGGGAGGATACAATAGGAACACAAAGAACTGTAATGCAAGCCAGACTGGCTAAATACTATGAAGGAAAAAAAACTGTGATGAGAATTTAGAGGAAATTTCAATTCCTGGTAGCTAACAGGAATTAGTTAAAGCTTGTGTTTGAGCCAGGTCTGTGAGAATGGTCAAAATTTAGACAGAGATGCTATGGGCCCCTCAGGTTGCAGGGACAATGTGAACAAAGGGCACAGTCATGAGTGACCCAGTTATCTGCTGACTGGAACAAAGCCTGCGTGTAAAAAGTGGGAGAGGAGATAAAACCGGAAAGCTAAAGTCAGCAGAGAGTAGTAAATGCCTCACTAGGAATACAGACTTTATTCAAGAGGTGACAAGGCTTTGCAGCAGGGAAAGCACATGATCAAAGTTAAGTTTTAGGAACATTAATCTGCCAGTGATTGGAGAGTAGACAGAGAGGCCAAAAGCTGGGGAAGAAAGGTTTAGGGAGGCAACGATCTAGGGCAGAACCAAAGTGGGACTGAGAGTGGAGAGGAGACCGATAGAGAGGTATTACGGGAGATTGTCTGTAGGAAACAGTTCTACTGCAATGAAGGAAAGAGGAGGGGAGAAGGGAGAAGAGTGGGGAGACAGGACCCCGTGCTCCAGGGCAAACGGCGGCATCTCCAGTGGCAATGACGAGAGGGGCACCGAGGAGACCAGAGATGCTGCATTTAAGAAAGACTGGTTTCAAATAGGAATTTACATGTCTCTTCAATGTGTGAGCGGTTACCAAATGCCTATTGTGGAAGGGCAGCCCTCTTGTAAATACTTGGGATATATCATAATAAGGTATTATATTCCAATCCAATGCTATAGTCGTTTCCTTCTTCTGAATTCCTGCACATTTAACAGTCTAGACTGTCCCCTGGGTATTAGGCACATATGACTGTATTTCTCCCCTAATGTCAAATTATCAATCAGATCATAAGTGAGTGGAGAGCAGGAATCATCTCAGATAGTCTTTGCATCTCCCACAGTAACTCATTCAGAGTAGGAAAATTCAGGAAAGCTTTAACCGTTAGACTGGGGGATTTTTCATTCTTTTTTCTTCTATGTTAAGGGTACATCTTTTCTTAGCCTTGTAGAACAGAAGGATCAGTAACATCTCACATCCAGAGCACATGGCCACAGTAAACGGAGCCACAGAAGCTGAGTCTGCATCAGACTGGGAAAAGGAAAGCTGAATGATGGCAAGCGCTAAGAAACTATTCAGGACCCCACCTTCAATAGCGACAGTTTTACAAACAGGAAGAGGCAGCATAGAAATTTTAGCGAAAAAGTACCCGAACAACAAACCCAAAGCAGGAACTAAGACACCCAACAGAAGCACCTCGAGGTTCACTGTTTTCAGAAACACCGATCCCATGCTGAAAGTCAAATAAATCCCTATAAACATTAAAATAAAACTCAGAGGTCTGATGATCCTCTCCAAGAAGTTTGCTTTTTTAGGCAGTCTATGCTTGATGGCTATTCCCACTGACATTGGTGCGAGGATGAAGAGGAGGGTTGACATAATTCTAGAAATAGGAATATGCAGTGTACCTGATAACCCTAAGATTCTACTGTATATGTACGAATTGGTAGGCATCGTTACCAGGGCCAGAAACGTTGACGTGCAAGTCATGAGGATGGCCAAAGTGACATCTCCTTCTAGAAGCAGAGCAAAGAGGTAGCCCCCACCACCACCTGGGCACGTGCAGGTGACTATAAATCCAAAAGCCTGTGCCTCAGGCAAGGCCAAAATCTGCGTCAGAAGGAATCCGCAAAATGGCATAAGAAAAAACTGTATAACCGCCCCAAGAACTACCGGCAAAGGTCTCTTCCACACTGTTTCAAACACCTGGAACTCAATCTTGCAACCAAACGCACATTTATTTAACAGTATCATTGGCAGAAAAAGCATTAGGATGTTTCTGTCAATGAGGTTTGATGCCGGGAAAGGACTGTCTTGTCTCTGTTTGAGCACTCTGACTCGGACATTCTTTATCTCTTCAATGAGCCTTTCGTGCCTACCTTCCAAATCCCACAGCTGAACGGTCAGATTTGTCTCTCCGTCTCCATCTGTCACCAGATTTATGGTAAAGTTGGTCACGTCCGACAAGGTCTTGGTCACATTCACCACTTGGAGCATTTTATCATCTTCCAGTTGCACCAGGAGGTAGCTGGAGTTTGGTTGTTTATCTCTGTAACTTGACCTTACAACAACGGTTTCTTCCGACTTTGTGAAAAACAGTACTTCAGTCTTTTCTATGTTCAGCAAACTGAGAAAGGATTTCCTGGCTTCTCCAAGAGTCACAGACGACAAAAGCAGGACAATAAAAAGTTTTCTAATCATTTTAAAAGTTTAAAAGAAATCACATACACAAAACTAGTTAAACTAAAGAACATTCTTTGTACAGGTGTTCCACTGATGGTCTGAAGTTAGGTAACAGTTGTTTCTGCTAGATCAAAGTTCAGTAGGAGGGACTGTTGTACTATTCAAACAAGTACAGAGCTGTCTAAGGAGTGACACAACCGGTTTAACCCAGTTACGAAACATAAAAGGCACAGCATTTAACAGGTTCAATTTATCACCATCGAAACCTAAGCTCTTCCCCCCACTTCCTCATTTCTGCCACTGGAAAAACAGCCTCCTACCTACCTGAATTTAACACCTTAGTGCCATTGTCTTTGAGTCGAGTACTATTATTTTATTCATTCAGGTCAAAATCAAATAAAAATTTACTAAACACATGTGCTGGAGGCCTGGGCTAGGAGCAGGGTACACCACAGTAATCAAGCCAGATGACTCTCTTCTCCTGGAGCTTAGTCTTGGAGGCTCTTTATCATTACTTAGGAAACTGCGGAGCCCATAAACTGGCCTTGCAGCAACCTTAGGCTAATAAGTTTTCCCACAACTTTAAATAGTGATCAAATCAGTTAGGCAAAAACTGAAAGTGTCTGTGGTGTCCTTAGGTAGAAAAACAACTTCCTGGGTGGTGAGCAGACAGCTTGGCAGCCTAGAGAAGGTGCACCGCCGTGCCCACGGCCAAAGAGGCAGCGTGGTTGGTGGGCCACTGCTGCTGGGCACCCGGACTCTGACCCAGTGGGGCAATGGGGGCCACTGGGACTAATTCTGAACTCGTCTTCCTTCCTTGGAGCATTACTCCTTATTCACAGCTAGGGGCGAAGATACTCAATTGACCCAACTTAGGTCATATGCTTGAGGGCTGCCAGAAACAAAGGAAAAGTATCAGGCTTTTTGGACTTCAATCCATAGACTCACAAATGCTTTCCATTTCTCAGAGAAGAGGAAAGGCTTGTGATGCTAAGCTGGAAAAAAAAAAAGACAAAACAACAAAAAACCCATTATAGTTATCTACTGCCAAGCCTACAGGTCTAGTAGTCTCTGATCATACAACCATTTCAGCAGACCTTTCACGATACTGTACCCAACAATGACAGTTATGTATTGACTATTTCAGATCATAAAATGTTTGCTCTTCAAAAGCTGTCCAAGCAATTTTTACTGGACATTTTTACAAGTTTTTGAAAATTTGATTTATGTAGGTTAATATTTCAAAAGCAATACATTATAGTTCATAAATTTTATTTCCATGTATCACATTAAGAAAAACAAGATACAGTGTATTAATACTGAAAATAGCAACTGGAACTGTTTCTGTGATATCTCAATTAAATTCTCAGGGAACTTCCCTGGTTTAAAAAGACAAGAACAACAAACATGAAGAACTTGAAACCAAAGCTACCTTTACGTTATGTGACCAAACATCTTAATTCACAATTGTCTCCCAGGTCAAAGAGGTGTGAAATGTAAATTTTACTTTCCTCAGATCCTTCCATCTGCAGCCTCTCCCCTTCTCCTTAAAACTATCCAGAATAAAATCTGACAAAGCTGGGGAAAATCTAGTAGTTCATTATTCACGTGTATTTACTGGCTGCTTACATGACAACTAAACTCATTTCTATCATCATGTAGGTTAAATATTTATCTGAGTTTAAAATTTCTTTCAATTTGTGGGTTTTCTACTTTTAGTTCTAGTTGCCTGTGAGCAGTGAAAAGATTCTAAAGGGGAAGGTGGGTACAGTCAACCTTAGAATTATATTAAGCAGACTCAAAGCCTTAGAAGAAAGCCTGAGAAAGGGGTCAGATTTCAAGAGTCATTTGGAAGTGAGACCCTCGAGGGACTTCCTCTCCTGCCCACAATGGTGTTCTTTTCAGAAGACTGCTCAGGCTGCAGCCCCTCCCTGCACCCTTGGATCTAAAGCACCTCCAAGAATGCTGGCACCTGTGTCTTCCAACTAGTCCGCTCAACTATCCAAGATCAGATTTCTGATGATTTAAGTAAGTCCTTTCCTTCACACTGCTTTCTCTTTTCTAATCATGACAGGACCTCTTCTTTGGTCTCCTTAGGTTTAGCTCAATCTCTGCAGCCTTACTTCCTATCTTTTCAACCTCCATTGGTATTTTTTCCTGGTATATTTAGCTTTTGTTCAATTCATGAGACATGTTGGTCAGCTTACTATGTGCAAGTAATTATGACAGATGCTAAGGTATTAGCATCTGGTATATGGTAACATATTTAAGGATTTTTTTACTTCTGGTCTCCTGGTTTCTAATAAAAGAGTTATTAGAGTATAATGGCACTTACTATATATTCATTTGGCACTTGCTATACTGCTTTGTATTATAGTTTTAATTACGTATCCATCTCTTCATTGTATCCACCATGGCAGTTAGAATCAAATCCTTACATTGAGAAGGTACTTGAATAACTTGGTTAATAAATGAATGTATACGCAGCGGATAGAAATAAGAAGTTACCTCCATTCACTGCATGAAAACAGTATGAAGAAAGAATTAGAGATGAAATAAACATTCTGAGTTTATTTCCTTAAGTAAACCTAAGGCCACTATCCCTGTCTATTGCAAGGTAGGAAAGGGACAGATAACAAACAGAAATAATTTCCATTCCTTCTCTATAGTGGTACTTTGTTGAGTATAGATGGAAGACATCAGTCAGGAGCATTAATTTCAATGTGTTGGTACAAGGTTGTAACTTGTGGCATGTGTTGTGCTTGGGTATATATAAAGGGCCTGTAATAAACTTCAGCTATCCCATCTTCCTTTTTACTGTAATATATCCATACTGACAAAATGATGAATGAAGTCACTGGAGAGGGTTTTTATCAGAGATATACCCCAAAGCACTTAGGTGGCAACAAAAAAATAATTTCCAAACAAAAAACAAACAAACAAAAAACCCCCCTTCCTAGGCCTGAGATTCCTCATCTACAAACTTTGTAGAGTGAATGAGATGACCTCTGTTTCTATGATTCATGTATACACATCAATTTACACATCATAATGGAGGCAGATACTAAGGCTATAGTTCCCCGCCCCATGAGGCTAGGCTTGGTCATGTGTCTTGCTTAAAGCAAAAGGTCATGTGTCTTATCTTCTAACAGCCATTTCTTTCTTCTACCATAAGAATGGTTCAGTTCAGTTCAGTTCAGTTGCTCAGTTGTGTCCGACTCTTTGTGACCCCATGAATTGCATCACACCAGACCTCCCTGTCCATCACCAACTCCCAGAGTTTACTCAAACCCATGTCCATTGAGTTGGTAATGCCATCCAGCCATCTCATCCTCTGTCGTCCCCTTTTCCTCCTGCCCCCAATCTCTCCCAGCATCAGGATCTTTTCCAATGAGTTAGCTCTCTGCATGAGGTGGCCAAGATATTGGAGTTTCAGCTTCAGCATCAGTCCTTCCAAAGAACACCCAGGACTGATCTCCTTTAGGATGGACTGGTTGGATCTCCTTGCAGTCCAAGGGACTCTAAAGAGTCTTCTCCAACACCACAGTTCAAAAGCATCAATTCTTCAGTGCTCAGCTTTCTTCACAGTCCAACTCTCACATCCATACATGACCGCTGGAAAAACCATAGCCTTGACTAGATGGACATTTGTTGGCAAACTAATGTCTCTGGTTTTTAATATGCTATCTAGGTTGGTCACAACTTTCCTTCCAAGGAGTAAGCATCTTTTAATTTCATGGCTGCAATCATCATCTGCAGTGATTTGGGAGCCCCCCAAAATAAAGTCTGACACTGTTTCCACATCTATTTCCCATGAAGTGATGGGACCAGATGCCATGATCTTAGTTTTCTGAATGTTGACCTTTAAGCCAACTTTTTCACTCTTCTCTTTCACTTTCATCAAGAGGCTTTTTAGTTCCTCTTCACTTTCTGCCATAAGGATGGTGTCATCTGCATATCTGAGGTTATTGACATTTCTCCCGGCAATCTTGATTACAGCTTGTGCTTCTTCCAGCCCAGCGTTTCTCATGATGTACTGTGCATATAAGTTAAATAAGCAGGGTGACAATATACAGCCTTGACGTACTCCTTTTCCTATTTGGAACCAGTCTGTTGCTCCATGTCCAGTTCTAACTATTGCTTCCTGACCTGTATACCGGTTTCTCAAGAGGCAGGTCAGGTGGTCTGGTATTCCCATCTCTTTCAGAATTTTCCACAGTTTATTGTGATCCACATAGTCAAAGGCTTTGGCATAGTCAATAAGGATGGTAATGTCCCCCATAAGGGTCATAGCTTCATCTTAGATTCTGGAGTAAAGATAACATAGAGCAGAGTCATGGTCCATCAAAGCTGACATTAACCAAATGAGAAATACACCTTTGTTGTTGTAATTACAGCATAAACTAATAAAAGTTAATTAGGTACAAGAATTTGTTAATAACTGGATGTCAGTTAACGGTTACACTTGAAAACACAATAATTCAAATTCAATTTAATAGAAGACTAATAATGTAAATTATGACATAATAGAATTCAAAAGGAACTTTAAATATATATATATATATATAGTATTTGTAGTAAAAGAAGTTGACTTAATGTTGAATTTTCTTCTTGATTTCTGGCTTGAGTCCCTGCATGGCTATTCCAAGTAAGAATCAACATTTTTTAAAAACTGGTCTTCATCACTCAGATATTCCAAGATAATATTTCCACCATTGTACAAAGGACAATCCTCCTTAGCAATCCAGGTTTCCAAAATATGATCCAAGGGTAAGGCCTCTCCTGAGACACCGTGACATAACCTCAATTTCTGTTAAGACAGAAATATGTCATAAGGCAGTAAATAAACATGCTTTATAGAGCATTCTAAAGCTTTCAGGGACAAGTTATACCCTGTTGTTACCTTAGCTGTTAGTCTGTTGTTGTCATTTTTAAGGCTGGCTAAAGAAGCTGCAAAGTCTGTGGCCTTTCCGACACTCCATCCTCGGCAAAAGAACATGGCTTTCCTCTTCTCTTTGCTCCCCTTAGGTAAGAAAACCTGAAAGTAAATTCTTTCCGTCTGTAAAGATAAAAAGTTAAAATACAGGTTATATACATGAGGTAGACATCTGGTTTTCTCTTGTGACATCTCTTCCTTGTTTCTCCTGGCCAGAGAAGCATTATCCTCTAATGACACAACTTTGGGAAGACAATCATAGAATCCCAGCATCCATCTAAATGCGTGGACAGAGAACCTAAGTCCCTAGTCTGGATGATCTGTGCAAAAATAGGCATGTGACCTAAATTAGGCTAATCATTTCCTGGGATTTTGCATTCAAAACCTGGGGGTAGGGAGGAGCAACAATTTTTTCAGAGGTTTTTTTTAAAAAGTCTTGCTCAATTAAATCCAAAGGTTTCTGCAGTTATCCCCTATGCCTCTCAGCCACTCCTGAACTAATGTGAAAAAGTTTCTTCAAAGGAAAAACAGTGAATCTAACACAGAGAAAGAGAGAAGTCAAGAAAACAGATTGCTTCTCTCAACAGCATTTGAGTCCTGGAATTCAGTCATTCTGTGAGACCAGATCAATGCATTACTTCCCATTATATGAGAAAAGAAATGGCTAGTGAGTTTCAGTCAAGTTTCTGTCTCTTACAACTGAAAAATTCCTGATACCTACACATTTCTGTTCACCTGAAAGACCTCAGTACACACTTACAGACAGCAGGGTCTTTGAGAAAAAAAGAAACTTTAAAAATCAGAAAAGTATCATGTCAACAAAAGAGAAAAACTCAGAAATTCAGATATGGTTCCTCTAGTATTCTATACCCTATATGCCTCTTATATATTGTATTTTCTTGCAAAATTACAAATGTAAGAAACAAGAATAGAAGCAAGGGTATTTAGCTTCTGAGCTATCCTTCTTTTCTAAAATCACTTAAAAAAAGTACTGGCTTTATAGACCAATTCCTGCTACAATAAATATTTTGGCATAACTGGAAGGTCTCTCAGTTATAGGGAGAGATCACAGTTATTTTAAGAAATAATAGATTCAACACAATTTCCATCTCAGCACTAAGAAATTTAGATTTGTTAAAGACCAGTGGAATGCGTTATTACAGATAACAGGAAAAGAAGAAATTATGGGAAATTCAAACTTTGGGACAACTCTGTAACCTCACAGTTCTTGCTCCAGTAACATGGCAATAAAAGCATACATATGAAAAGAGAAATTTTAAAAGATATACCCTCACCTAAAAGTAAAAAAATAACTATGCCTGAGCATCTAAAATGAAACAGAAATGCAGAGTGACGGCAGGCAGGCTGAGCCATAGGCCCCAGGGCTCAGAAGAGGCGGGTTAACGAGAAAAAGCAGGGCCACAGCGTGAGGGGCCCCTGCCTCTGGCCGACTGCCTGGAGGCAGCGGCCAGCGTGGGCTGGGCCCTACAGCAGAGGAGGCTTAGGAAGTCACTGCTGCTGGCCAACTGAGGCTGCTGCTCACAAAGCCGACGCTCAGGGAGGCACAAGAGCACAGATACAACCTCCTCAGGGAACAGAGCCAAAGCCTCCAGCTCAGTAACGGATCTGCAGGAGGCCGAAAATCTCTGCAGGGCAGAAGCAGAAACTATCAGTCTCAGACCTGGGTTTGGAACAGAGGGCGTGGGTAGGTGGGCCTGTGGAAGAAAAGGTGAGACCTGGGGAGAGGTGAGTGAGACAGGAGAGACACAGAAAGAAACTGCTCCTCAACGCAAACATGCTGAAGCTTGAAGCTGAAACTTTGAAACAAATCAAAGCTTAGCTTATTATGGGCAGGAGAAACTAAACTTGAAAAAGACATTTTAAAGAGTTATTTAGGATATCTGTGGGTGCTCAGTCACTCGGTTGTGTCTCTTTGTGACCCCATGGACTGTAGCCCGCTGAGCTCCTCTGTCCATGGGATTCTCCAGGCAAGAATATTGGAGTGGGTTGTCATTTCTTCCTCCAGGGAAGCTTCCTGACCCAGGGATCGAGCTGGCATTTCTTGTGTTCCCTGAATTGGCAAACAGACTCTTTCACCACTGAGCTACCCGGGGAGCCCCTATTTAGGACGAACAATGAGAAAAATGAAAGAATATTCATAAAAACAGAACAAACAGTTATAAAACTGAAACAGGCAGAAACGAAACATGAAAAGCTATGAAGAACCAATTAGAAATAAAAAAACTTAAAAATACAGTTTCTGAAATAAGAAACCCAAACAATCAATTTCTATAATATTCAATAAAAAGGTTTAATTGATTGAAAGATGGATTTGAGGCTGTCATCTAGAAGGCAACACAAACAGACATAAAGATAGAAATTATACATCCCCAAAACATGTCCAATGAGAATTTCAGAAAAGAAGAAAAGGAAGCAATGTTCAGAAAGAAAACAACAATAATTTTCTAAGGGTAAGGGATCAACAGCTAAAATGCACCTCAAGGTCAAGCTGTGTAATTAAAACAAATCCATACCTAGAAACCTTGCACTGAAACTGTAAAATATCATAGACAAAAATCTTTAAGTTACAAAACAAGGTATAGATTACCCATAAAGCAACAAGAGTAAGCTCTACAGCACATACTTCCCAAACAATAAACAAAAGAGGCCAATGAACAGTTTATTAGAAGAGCTGAGAAAGGCAAATAGACAATCCAGCTCAAGTGAGGGAAAATAAGGGCAGTTTCAGACACAAAAGATGGAAAGAGTTTACCACAGAGACCCTTGACGAATGAACTACAAAAGAATGTGCTTGAGCCAAAATAAAAATGAGTCTTAAGAAAAAAAGAAACTCAAAAAATATATTGGCAAATTTAAAAAGCAACTGACTTAAAAACAATCATGTGCATAAACAAAGTCAACGAGATGGGAGATACTCAGCTGCAGAAAACACGTCAAACTCTTGGTCTTATTCAAGAGGATACAATCTCAAGTAACTAGATTTTGAGAGAAGAATTGGTATTTAATTATATATGTCAAAAATCTTAAATATAAGCACATGCCTGTTATCACCATTATTACAAAACATTATATTGGAGATTTATATATAATATAGTACAAGAAAATGAACTAATTATTGAAAGGTGAAAACTAAAGCTGTTTGTCAATGGGATGTAATTGTATACCTAGGAAATCAAAGGCAAAAACAAAACAACTTCTAAAATAAATATAAGAATTTGATGCTGTGATTGAATACAATGAATATATAGAAATCAAGACCTTTTTTCCTATGTTAACAGTAAGTTCTGGAAACAGGTACAGGGAAATATTCTGTTCACCAAAGAAAGAAAATCCGTAAGATAACTGGAGATGTTTATACGTGTGTGCGCTCAGTAGCTTCAGTCATGTCCGACTCTCTGTGAACCTACGGGTTACCGGTAGCCCACCAGGCTCCTCTGCCCACGGGAGTCTCCAGGCAAGAGTACTGGAGAGAGTCGCCCCTCTTCCAGGGGACCTTCCAAACTCACATTTCCTGCATTGCAGGTGGATTCAACAAGGAATAAGACTTAGATGAAGAAAAATATATAAAATGTTACAGAAGGCAATAAAATATGATCTAAATAAAAGAGAAGACATAAAGTTCGTAGACAGGAAGATAATGTTATAAAAATGTCATTTCTCTCAAAATTAATATATATCATGTAAAGCAAATTCAGAGAAACCCTCAGGAATGATCCTCAGTCAGGACTTGTTAATAGACGCTGCTGGGAAATTGAGTTTACTTTACCTAACTTTGCAGAAATCACTTGATAATACGAAGGAGGTTTTGTATCAATTACTTAGACCTGGTGGGTAAGGAGGGAGCCAGAATCCCCAGCACAAAGAGGACGAGGCCAACAGGGTAAGAAATCCTCCTGAGAATGCAATCAGGCTTCTGTAGGCACTGTTATTCACAGCCTACATCCTTGTGGGAAACAGTGACAGATATAAGAAACTACGTTCTAAGATCAAGCAGTGTTCTTTTTTGCTTTTCATAATGTTTTTTCTCCGTTTCTCTATTTTTGCTTTTAAAGAGCCTATGTTCTTCAACAGTATCTGCTGGAGTCTGTCACTGACGACCTTATCCCATCATGACAACCACAGAGATCCCAAGATGGATTAAAAAAAAGTGTATATAATAATCGTAAGGTCCATATGGATGAACAAACCAAAAGAGAAAAGAACTGCTAACACAAAATATGGGAAAATATGGGTGAGACTTACATGATCATATGTTAGAACACTCTATAAACTTATTACATGAAGTCAACTTGGTATTAACGTATGAGGAAAAAACAGATAAGGAATTAGAATAGGAAATCCAAAAACAAACCTAGTAAAAAATAAATCTTGAATTTAACATGAAGGTGATATTTGGTATTTCAACTTAATAGGACAAAAATGATTTATTTAATAATTAGTGGGTAAAACTAAACAAATGGAAGAAAATATCCTTAGCTCATATAATATGTTAAAGTCAAATTCCAGACCTATTAAAGACAGATGAAAAAAAAAAACCTAAAACCCTAAGAAAACCAAACCAGAAATGAAAGGACAGACAGACCCTAGAAAAATTTAGAGCATGATATGTCAATAAGGACATAAGCAAAATCAAGATTATTTGATAGATTTTGAAAAAAAAGTTTCCAAAGCAGACTGATTATAGAAAGGATCAATATCTATTCCATTCCAAGAATTTCCACAGTTGATGAAGCAAAATAAAAGTGAAATAAAAATAACAATGTAAAAGAAAAATGATCACAGGATATGCAGGGGCAATTCAGGGAAGAGCATTCACACACGGCCAATGAACATAATAAACAGATACTTAAACTGAACAATACTTTGGCCACTGAACGCAAGGACACAAAGAGCTGACTTATTAGAAAAGACCCTGATGCTGGGAAAGATTGAGGGCAGGAGGAGAAGGGGACGACAGAGGATGAGATGGTTGGATGGCCTCACCGACTCAATGGACATGAGTTTGAGCAAGCTCCGGGAGACAGTGAAGGACAGGGAGGCCTGGTGTGCTGCAGTCCATGTGGTCACAGAGAGTCGGACTCGATTTAGCTCCTGAACTAAAC